AAGCCCAAACTGTCGTACCTCTCCCCGGTAATTTCTACCAGATAGCCACGCGGTATGCCTCCACCCAAGGCGGCATCCAATTCTTCATCCAAGGTGCTTATACAAGTCCAACCATCATTCGGGGCATCCGGGATACCCGAAGCGGAAAGAAAGGAATTGCCGACGGCAGCTTCCTCTCCGCCGAAGCCAAGTTGTCGATGCAGAGCAGCTATCACGGCATCGGCGAGCTTCCTCAGCTCACCCGCGGGCAGTTGGGCGCGTTTGGCAACATCGGCCGCGTCGAGGGTGAGCAGGTCATTAGTGGTGATGAGGGCCTTGTCGAGCGAGGGCAGCAGGTGGGTGTAGGGTTTCGCGTCAAAGTCAGGCAGCACCTGCAGCAGATCCGTCATGGGCCAGAGAGGTGTCGCATTTGCGCGGCTCTGCGGATGGCACGCGCGACGACTTCCGGACTCGCCTTTTCGGTCAAATGTCACGGCGGGCGGAGCGTTGGAGGCGGACGGGGCGTGGATGCGTGCAGCTGGTCCGACTGACGCGTGATGAAAGCTGCTCGCGACTGTTCGAGAAGCTCTTGGCCGCTAGTCGACTAGTCCATAGACGACAGCGTGGTGGGGGTTCCGTTTCTCCTATGGTCCGTGACCTACGTCACACTTGAATCCCCCGCTTCTCCACACGTTGGCATACCTCAGCCACTCTCCAATCCCAGTCCGCCCAAGACTGAGCCCAGACATCGACACCTCAGGTCGCCGTACGTAGAGCCCGTGAGCAATGACCGCATAGCCGCGCAGTGTGATCCAAGTAGCCATAGACCACAGTTACATCCTACTATTGTGCCTTGCACCCGTTGCCGTACCTATCCTAAAAGCTGCCCAGATACATTTTCTCCGATTAACCGGACTGCCTACGCGACGGTGCGTGCTCTTTATAAGTTCGCGCTACCGCCGACGCTTCCACTCGTCCGTAACGTAGATAGCTGATTTCTAACAGGCCCACTAGTACACCTCGGGGCAGCCTTGCGCGCCTACCGTATCCTCACGACCGAGTCTCTCTGACATTTGCTGTGCTTCGATCCGCGGCACACCTTTTCCGGTCCTTTATCCTGGTCCTGCTGCATTGTCGAGAGCGCAAGAGGCCCATTGGAGTACAGTAAGTTGTTGCGCAACAGAGTTACTTTGACTACAGCAGTTTCGATTACATTCCAGATCTGGAGAAATTCCGCCAGACTATTCGCAGCTCATTCAGAGCTCGACGCTACTGTGTAAGTTGCACTCTCCTTGCATGGGCGTTTCGTTGGCTTAGAACATCGGGTCATTCACCTCTCTGGTCTGCCATGCTCCGGGTCACGTTCCGGGTCAGCGGTCGGCTACCTGAGCGGCATCCTGCATCGCCTGTCTCTTTATTACGAAGCCTATCGCGCGTTTCACATGCGAAGTCGCCATGTGGACCCGCCCTAATTCTACTTTCCCCATTTGTCTTGAGTCTTATAAGAGTCTTCCCTTCCCCAAGTACCTTGATGCTCTTTGCGAACTCTGAGTACCCATGCCGGCCTACTGTCTCCAGGACTGTCACTACTTCTATCGCAGTGCTCTGCGGCATCTCAACATTGCCACCTCCATCTCACCCCTATACGCCTAACTGACACTCTCGCCATGGCAGTCCGCACTTTCACCCAACCGTCGTCCCTTGAGGATACATTGGTCAAGGCATCCAAGATGTCTGGCTCAGAAGGCAACGGCACGACTCGTTCAGCAGAGTCTGCGAAGCAGAGTACCCAGTCTTACTCCTCAGAGGCACAAGCACCACTAGCAAGCCATACCAACCCGAACTCGAGACCAGGCATTACCTTCGCACACGAGGACAGTCTACCAAAGCTTCCTATCCCAGAGCTTGACAGTTCGTGCAAGAAATACATTGCAGCTCTCAAGCCCTTGCAGTCTCCGAAGGAACACAGCGATACAGTCCATTCGGTAGAGGACTTCCTCAAGTCTGATGGACCTGTGCTGCAGGAGAAGCTGAAGAAGTACGCTTCTGGCAAAAACAACTACATCGAGCAGTTCTGTAAGTATTCTTTCAGTTGACAGAATGAGCTATTTTCGAGCCACTTCGTGATCGACAGTGGAAAGTGTATCCATATCCATGTATCGTAGGCTGACATATCGCTAGGGTATGATTCATATCTGAACTTCGATAACCCGGTGGTACTTAATCTAAATCCATTCTTCTTACTGGAGGATGATCCCACCCCGGCTCGCAACAACCAAGTCACTCGCGCAGCCTCATTAGTCGTCTCGGCACTGTCGTTTGTAAGAGCTGTCCGTCGCGAGGAACTACCGCCTGACACCATCCGTGGTCAGCCACTGTGCATGTACCAATACTCAAGACTGTTCGGTACTGCCAGGATACCCACTGAGCATGGATGTCAGATCGGTCAAGACCCAACCTCGAAGCACGTGGTCGTCATGTGCTATGGCCAGTTCTACTGGTTCGACGTTCTGGATGACAACCACGACCTGATCATGACGGAGAAGGATATTGCCCTCAATCTGCAAGTCATTGTCGATGACGCGCAGGAAGTACCGATTCAGGATGCGGCCAAAGGAGCACTGGGTGTGCTGAGTACAGAGAACCGAAAGGTCTGGGCTGGTCTCCGTGACGTGCTGCACAGGGAAGAGGGCTCGAACAACTCTGACTGTCTCAACATTGTTGACTCGGCATTGTTTATACTCTGCCTAGACTACACCGAACCACAAACAGGTGCCGATCTGTGCATGAACATGCTTTGCGGCACGAGCAAGATTGAGCGCGGTGTTCAGGTGGGAACATGCACAAACCGCTGGTACGACAAGCTGCAAATCATCGTTTGCAAGAACGGAAGTGCAGGCATCAACTTCGAGCATACAGGTGTTGATGGCCATACTGTGCTCCGATTTGCTTCCGATGTATACACCGACACCATTCTCCGATTCGCGAGAACCATCAACGGCAGTGCTCCAAGCCTTTGGGCTTCATCAAGCCCTGATCCTGCCAAGCGCGACCCCGACAGCTTTGGCGACGTACAAACAACACCTCACAAGCTCGAGTGGGACATGCTTCCTGAACTCAGCACAGCGCTTCGTTTTGCCGAGACACGCCTGGCAGACCTCATTCAGCAGAATGAGTTCGCGACCCTGGAGTTCCCTCACTATGGCAAGAACTTCATGACTTCGATGGGTTTCTCACCCGATGCTTTTGTTCAAATGGCTTTCCAGGCAGCGTATTACGGTCTATACGGGCGAATAGAATGTGTATACGAACCTGCTATGACCAAAATCTACTACCACGGACGTACAGAAGCCATCCGCTCGGTGACAGAAGAATCGGTTGACTTCCTGACGATGTTCTGGGGCGAAAACCCAGCCTCGCAGAAGATCGAAGCACTCCGAAAGGCGTGCCAGAAGCACACGGAGAACACAAAGATCTGTTCCAAAGCCCAAGGTCCTGACCGACATCTCTATGCCTTGTACTGCATCTGGCAGCGTGCCATTGACGAGTCCAACGACACAGCCAGCAGTGACGGCTGGGACTCCACACGACCATCCAGCGCCGACGCATCAGGCGTCGGCTCACCGAACCGCAACTCAGTCCTGTCAGAGAACGACTCCATCTCGAGCTCGCCACCCCCAGCACCAATCCAACATTCGATGCCCGCCCTCTTCGCCGACAGCGGCTGGGACAAGATCAACCAAACCATCCTTTCGACCTCCAACTGCGGCAACCCCTCACTCCGCCAATTTGGTTTCGGACCCACCTCCGCCGACGGCTTTGGCATAGGCTACATCATCAAAGACGGCAGCATATCCATCTGCGCGTCATCCAAGCACCGCCAAACCTCGCGCTACATCGACGCGCTGGAATCCTACTTTTTGGAAATCCGTAAACTCCTCCGCCAGATTAAGCGCCGCGGTACTTCGGCTGATAAAACCGCGACCCGCGCCCGCGAAGCGGAAGACAGACCCCTCGCCACCCGTTTCAAGAGCAGAGGCAGAATTATCCTGGGAGATGGCGGCAAGCAACAAACGCCCGCAGAGAGTATAGTAGATGATGACGATGACGATGGTCTCGGTGGATGTAGGACTCCCCCTTCCCCCCCTTCCCTTCTTTCCCTCGATGAAGTCTCGAGCCATGCTTCTTGTTCCGCTTTGCCTTCTTCGCCCCATTCTTCTTCTTCGCAGCCTTTTCCTACTGTGGGTGGTTTACCGCCTACACCTCCTCATTCCCCGCCTTTCAAGCCCATGACGCCTGTTTTGCAAAGCTCGCCGCGTAAACCCATTCCGGTTGTTAAAACGGTCAAAGCGAGGAAAGCGCCTGTTGCGGCGAGGAAACCGATCTTTTACTCTTCTTAGTGTTTCGTTCATTCTCCCTTTTCCGATTAGAGACTTTGTTTCTTCCCTTTCCTTTCCTTGACTATTGATGGGATTGAGCGGTACAAGCGGCATGCGCACACGAGACTTCACCACCACCACCACCACCACCACCAACACACTACCTTGTTTTCCCCCATACATCGTTCCTTGTTTCCTGTTTCATTGATCGCTGATTCTTACTTTTCTGCTCCGGCTATAGATGGCTTCTTCGATGCGGGAATGCTTCGTCAGGCACTCAATGCGAATCGAGCGCAGAACGAACCCGTCGAGCGCGACGTTATACGCAGGAATATTGGGAGGAGGTTGAGGTTGGCTGAGTACTGAGTGTGCTAAGTTGATTTGTTGGAATGGCAGGAGGAGGGAGGATGGAGAATGGTAGTGAGATGATGGGGGACAGAGAGGGTTTGATGTGTGAGGATGGGGAATGTGGAGAAGAGATTAATACAGTGGTGGAGTGGACGGAGGAGGCTAATGCAACGGCACACTTTCACTGTTGTTCGCGTGTTGGGGTTACCTAGTGCACCACTTCTGTTCTTGGAGAACATCTTCGCAATCTAATTCCATACCATCGTCCACGAAATGTACTGTTTCTCAATGTTGCTAAGACCCGTTTTCATTTTCAATGCCCATATACAAAGCTAGCCCTATGATGAGACTTTCTTAAGTTGACAGCGCAACAACACCACCCAAACGCTCTGCTGTCCACTTGATCTAGTATATTTGATTCTCTACAAACTACTGCAAAGGAATAAAAGGGGGTATAAGTGACAAAAGACAATACGTCTATACATCCTCACGCAATACAAATGCCACCAAACCTGCGCTATGCTGAACCAAACCCGATTCCGCGGCCCTACAAAATGCGTAATGAAGAGAAAGGAAACGAGCACACCATCCGACGAGCCTGCAGCAGCATAGCTATTGCCCACCGACGAGGGCGGCTGCAGAGACGGCGTTGCGGTCACAGCCCCGGCTACCTCCGGCCCTGTACCCAGTCAGCCCTTGGAAATACATACACAAAAAGCGTGTTTACAGGAAGAGGGGAGCTAACGTACTAAGACGCTGGAGCCGCCGACAGCGGCTCTTTGTTTTCCGAGCCAGCCTTTGGGTGCTTCGCTGCGTCTTTGCAGGATGACGGTGTTGCTGAGGAGGCGCTGGTTCATGTCGTACCACATGGACTTGACCAGGGCGTTTTCGCGGCGCAGGTTTTCGACTTCTTGTTGGAGTTCCACCTGTTTGTTGGAGCACTTGTTACTACCATATCCAAGGTTGCCACGTCGCTGTTCGGGAGAGGGAGGGAACGCGACATACCGAGCCCTTCTCTGACGTCTCCTTCTTGGCGAGCTCGAGCTGCTCGCGAAGTGTGCTGTTGGTTGTGAGTTGGTCTTGGAGGTCCTGCGGTGGAGGGTTAGCTTGGGCGCGGTGAGATGGGTACAAGGTATGAAAAGAGAGAGGAAGTCGGTTGGATAAGTATACTCTGGCAGCCAGGCCAAGGACAAACTTGCCACACAGTCATTCGACGATTGCATCGTGTAGTACTCGGTGCTGCATATGGTCGACATGGTCCTCCGCTTTGGCGAGACGAGCTGCGCCATGCGGCCCCATGTAGTTTGCCCCGTCCCAGCTGTCGAAGTAGACATGTCCGACAGCGACTTCTCCTTTCCGAGATGGGTTCGATTTGGTGAAGCTGGCGAGACAAGAGTAGCCGCAGTGAACGAAGGTTCAAGCTGATGTTTCTTCATTGCCGAAACCGCTGCGTCGAACGCGGAAGAAGGCGACTTGCTATGAGAGATCTGCTTGTTACTTACCTTCTTTGCTTTGTCCAGAGCTGCTTCGGAGGATAGCACAGTCTCCGCGATCTCTGAGCTCGTGGTATCTAACACTTGCGGTTGTACTTCTGCTGGGGCTTTGATGACTGATTCTATCCGTTCACGCATCTCCCGTATCGTTTCGACTCTCTTAAGCTCGAGAAGCTCTGGCGGCAGGTTTTGGCGGTCGAGCAACGCTGCTCGTAAGAGGCCCTGCTTCTCCGCGTTCGCAACTTCGAGCTCCCGTAGTCTGTCGTTGGTCCTCTCTTGCAGCACCAGCAGGCGTTCGTGTTCCTTTTGAACAGCAGCTGTGCGAGTATCGTCGTCGATGTCAGATTCTACTAGAATTAGCACAATCACATAGATAAGTCGGGCTACATACTCCTGTTGAGCTCGTTGCGAAGTTCCGCCATTTGCAAGTCTTGTTCTCGTAACCGGCGACGAAGTTCTTCCAGCTCGGTTTGAGCAGTCTGTAACTTTTCGTTCTGTTCTAAGAATGGTCTGCGGACATGTAATTAGCAATGCCCAATCCACATGTAGCTTTCACCTACTTCTGGCTGTTTTCATCCTTTTCCGTCATCATATCTGAGCGTAGGCCCAAATTCTCCTGCATCTGCTTGAGCGTCTCGCTTTCTAGCGATTTCAAACGGACATTCAAAATATCGACCCGTTGTTGCAAAGCAATGGCATCTGCGCTCACTCGTCCATCAGATACGGGCTTCGTGTCGGTGTCCTGGTTGGCGTTTTCGTCTTGTTCGAGCTCGTCTTCCAGGCTTCCCCCACGGTCAGCATGGTTGGATGACTCTAGTTCTCGTATTCGTTCTTCAAGCTCTTGTTTGGCATCTTCTGCTTTGTACTGTAGTTCGCGAGTCTGCTCCAACTGCTTCATAAGCAGGAGGTTCTCATGCTCGATTCGGGTGCGCTTGCCCTTTTCTTCAAAGATAGCCTGCTCTCCGTTGGCAAGCGTCTGACCGTTCTCTTTGATGATGTTCTGCAGGATATCGATGCGCTCCTCGACGCCTTCGAGCTGAGCCAACCGTTCACGAGCTTGTTGGTAGTCTTCGCGTAACGTCTCCAGCTGTTTGGTTTCCTTGGTGAGAGACTCGATCTTCTTCTTCAGGTTCTCGTTTGCCTTGGCCTTCTGGCTCAGCTCGTCGCGTTCTGCCTTGACGACTTGCAGCTGATCTCGCAAGTCCTGTTTAGATCCTTCCTCGCCCTCTAGCCGATCGAGGCGTCGCTTCTGGCTTTCCATGATCTCTCTCGTATGCGCGAGGTCCTGTTCCAGCTGGTCAATGTACTGTCTGTCGCGCAGCAGGTCGTTGCGTAGATTTTCGACATCGTCGGATTGAGCGCGTTGTGCCTGGCCTGCCCGAACATCGAGATAGGCAGTCGCTTCTGCGACTTCCTCCTCGAGCTTGGATATGCGTTCTCGTGAGGTCTTGAGCTCCTCAAGTAGCTTTCCAACCTGCGCCTTGAGAGCTTGCCTGTCCTTGTTCGCTTCGAACAACTGTGCCTCCTGCTCCAACTCGTTGCCTGCCGGGGGTGGCTGGCCAGATATTGCTCGTGTGGGCGTTCTATACCCTGAGAGAACTGGCTCTGAAGTCAGCTCGGCATCGACGCCTAGTTCCGACATGCGTTGATCCAAGGCCTGCATCTCTTGTATGGCTTCGGCTATCGTCTCGGCCGTCTTCTGGCCCAGCTTGGGCATGACCTGCAGCATGCGCTGATTGCTTCGCGGCGAGAAGCATGCTGCCAATAGCACAGCCATGGTGAGCTTTGCAACGAGCATTGTTGAACCATCTCTCGCGCCTGCCTTGAGGTCCGGTATCATGCGCTTGGTGAGCACGGGCAGCTGCTCGCATTCTTCGCGTATGTAGGTCGAGGTTGTGCGTTCGATGTATTTGAGGTTCTGCCATCGCGGTATCCAATTGTCTGATTGGCGGCGGTGGTTCTCTTCGAAATTTGGGAGGGACTCGTTGAAGTAGTCGGCATCAATGTCGGCGAGGATCTGCCAGAGTATTTGGCCGTCTTCGAGCTGGCTCAGCGACGTGATTCTGTGGGGGAGGTCGAACGTGTTGACCTAGACGCAAATGTCAGCTATACCACTCGGACGTGTAGTAGGCGGCACGTGGAGATGTACCCAGTCGAGGAGAGCCTTGAGCAGCTCGGGCTTGAAGTCGTCCATGGTGGAGTGTCGCGGGGCTTGGTACCCGCGTGTAAGTTTGTCAATGCTGTTATGCGGTCGGAGTAGAGTGAATAACAGTCATGCATCTCGATGTCTGTGGTTTTGCGGTGAAGTGTACGTGCTCCACCATGCACAGGCTGAGTCCTTGCTCGAGGACGTGTCGCGCGCGTCGGTGAGGTTGGGTGCCCGAACGCTAAGCCGGAATGCAGCACATTCCCGCGGCGACGTCTTCAATCGGTGTGTATCGAGGCGTGAGGTCGTGAGATGGGCGTCGAGTGAGGGGCATCAGCCTGACATTCACTAATTGCCTTTTGACAGACGGAACATGACGCGCATAAAGCCGCCGCTGTTCTGAGACGACGTGCACGGGCAGGCCACCCGCGGGGGAAGAGCCGCTGCAGGGCTCCACCATCTTACCCTACGGTGATCACAACACTCTCCGGCGTAGCAACTATCTGTAATCGTAATACGTAGGGCTATTGGATATGTTGGTGTTATCCACAGTCAACGTCGAGGATGCACGGGTTTCAAACCGTTCTACATAAATCAGAATAATAATGTATTGTCTAATTGACATTCTCATCCAACTCCACCCAGTCCGATCCTTGAGTAGACTCCAGACTCCAGTCGTATAATCGTAAGCACAATTAATTAGGGGGGGCGTTCCTTCCAGTTTGTTGCCCTCTTCCTTCCCCATGCAGCCTACTCCTTGTTGTTCTGCGTGGTAACGATGCCATCCTCCTCAATCTCGCACTTATACACATCGCTCAACGTCGACACGATGTCGAGAGCGGCAGCGGGGGCTGTGGCAGCGAAGCCCTTGATGATGTTGTACTCGTGGGTAATGACGCCTAGTGTTTTGTTAGCATACGTCCTCTACCAATGTCGCATGTCTCTTACCCTGGGCCTGTCGGATAGCCTCCTTGCTCTGCTCGACAATGTCATCGGGCGTGTCGTTGGGCCAGCTGATGATGACGGAGCGGTGGGGTGCGCTGGCCATGACGAAGGCAGCGAGGAGCGCAACGAGGAAGGAGAAGATGGCGAAGCGCATTATGTCTTGGGCGACTTGGGGTTACGGTTGCGGTGCCGGAAGAGGGTTACGAAGAGTGGAGAGCGTTAGGCGGCTGTCTTATCACAATCTCGTGCTTTTGGACGTCGTGAGAGGTTTATTGGTGGTGCTCGGCCTGGTTTGTAAGTGTCTAGGAGCAACTGGGCAGGTGCATGTTTCAAATGGCTGATCCGGAAGCCGAAGGCCCAAAGCGCGTCATCGCCTCACATGTCACACGGCAGCCGCTCCGCTGGACCCCTCGTCACATCGATGCAACCATGGCCATAATCCATTGTAACATCGTCTCTGCCATTTCTTTGTTGTCTCCATTCACCTCAACGATAGTACAGTATCACGCAAGTGCAAACCAGTTCTGGAATTTGATCCTTTATTCATCTACATAGACTTGCCACCTAGCTCCAGGCTCACGGCAAGTGCCATTGCAAAAGGGAGGTGAAGATGGAGAGGCCGCCTATATGGCGACAGTGCTCGTGCTGCTCGTTTTCGTGCTCATGCTGAAACGTTCCTTTTGGTGCACCAAGGTGCCGTATCGTCAAGACAAGTGGTTGCTGGGGAAAATGAAGGGATAGAATACAAGCAATGAAGGGGGAAGGGAAGAACGCCATGTAGCCCAGATCCAAACGCCGAATGATGCCGAATGCTGCCTAGGCCGCGCGATGATGCTCGTGTAGCTCGTACTATACAAGATCGATCCGCCCAATTAGACAGACAGGACCGATACATGGAAGAAAGATTGATCCATCAAGATGACAAACGCCAATACCAGTGTACTCTACTGGTAAGCATGTTGGTAGTGATGTGCTTTTGGACAGACCGTAGCTCGTCAAATCATAACCTCGTCGAGTGCCTGGCTCTTCTAGAACCAGCTGCCGTTGCCGCCATTGGTCTGAGGAACACCGTACTGGTGCTGCTGCTGGTAGCCAGCGTAGCCCTGGCGGTTGTCCTGAGCAGGGTTGTGCATGTGGTGCGGGTTGCTCAAGCGATGCGGCTGGCGGTGAGGTTGAGGTGAAATGATGCTCGGACCATAGTTTGCGGTTGCAGTATACATGGGTGTCTGGTAACCAGAGGAACCGTTGGGAGGTTGGTACTGTGGCGGGGCCTGGTTGAAGACCGAGCTCGACTCGGAACCTTGTGCAGTGCCGGGCGAAGCTTGGCCGGAAGAAGTACGACCAGTGTAGGCAGCCAGGCGGCTCTCGCGCTCTCCGACCTTGCTCATGATGCGGCGACCATAAGGGGTCTGGCGGATGGACGGCAGAATTGGACGCATCGCCTCAATCAGGAGTACGCAAAGCTCGGCGGGAGCGAACTCGAGTGCGGTCTGGATAACGTAGTTGCCGTAAGAGTCGCGCATGAGCTGCTCAAGCTGCTCGACATCAAGCAACTCCTCAATCATCATGCCCTTGACGTGCGGCTCGGCGCAGCGTATGCACTTCTCGATGACGTTGGAGCTGAACTTCTGCTTGGACAGCTCGCAGATCTTGCCCTGGAAACCCTGACACATGGGTGTTGTAAAGGCGGCATCGTTGAGGTCGAGGATGTACTGAACGACGTAGTTGCCGAATGGGTCCTGTACGAGGTGGAAGCTGTGGGCAGTGATCTTGCGGATCAGATCGACCTTCTGGAAACCGACGGCGTGATCAATGCAACGCTGGAGAACACAGCATCCATGGCGATGGGTGCCAACAGTGATGCAGTTCTCGCCTACAGCATCGAAGATAAACTGGGCCTCCACAGACTTGAGGTGGTTCAGGCACTTCTGAATGACGTGGTTGCCGTTCAGATCCTGGATGAGATCGACGACCTGTCCAGACAAGGCGTGAATGATCATTTGAGTCTGGAAACGAATTAGTTCGGAAGAAGTAGAATGCTTGGGGTTGTAACATACCTGATCGTCAGTGGAGATGAACTCAATCATCTTCTGCAAGGCGCGAGTTCCGTGCTGGTTGAACGCGATCTGAACCATCGCAGGAGAAGCGTTGCGGACAAGAGTGTTGCGCTGCTCGTCATTGCAGTACTCCAGCAACTTCTGGCAGAGGTAGTTGCCAAAAGGATCAGTCATGAGTTCAACGACATGAGGGGCAGTCTCATCAAAGATGATCTGAATGTTCTCTGCGTTGCGCTCCTCAAGCTTCTTCTGCAGGAATCGGCAACCGTGCTGATCCTTGCACAAACTGTAGATCTCGTGACGGGGCATGGTCTTCAGGTCGTAGTTCATGTACTTGTTTGCGTCGTTCTGCAGACGACGACTCTGAATGACACGAGCCTGGCTGTCCTGTACACGACCACCTGGACCATAGGTAGCGTATGGGTTGTACTGCGGCGGCCCATTACCGTACATACCGTTGGGAGCGTAAGCAGGAGGTCCGCCGTACTGAGGACCGGGCCCGCCTCCAAGGTTGAGACCATTCAAAGCACCGTTCAGCATGTTCATACCGTATCCATAGTATCCTGGGTTGGCAGCGGAAACACTTGAGTACTGTGACATGGCTGGTGAACCAACAGTAGACGAAACTCCGCCGTTGCCGTTGGCAGCTGAAGTCATACCAGGACCGAAAGGTGCAGCGCTGGCATGCAAGCCTGACTGTGGAGATCGGTACTCAGACTCGCGGTTACCGAGGGAGAGATCGCGGCTGTTACGGTTGGACAGGACATTTGGCGGAATGCGACCTAGGCTAGCGTTGTGATTGTGGAATTGCTGCGAGTGGGTGAAACCGATACTATTGGCGCCGTTCGCTCCGTTCTTCAGAGTCGGAACGTCGTTTGTAGAGTATGACTGGGTCAACTTGGGCATGCCGTTGGTGGGGCCGCCGTAGCTAGAGCGCTTGGACTCGTTGTTCTTGGGGCTGAAGCTGAACTCGACTGAGCGGCGGTTGTTCTTGGGAGTAGTATCGGCACCGTTGGATCGACCGGACTCATAATCGTCCATCTGAGAAGCTTTACGGAAAGTGTTAGCAGGAAGGGACTGTTGAGCCTGACGGTGACGGTGTCCGTTCCAACCAGTGGACTGAGCATCCGGGCCAGGGGACTGTGAAAGGGCCAAATCAAGCGCAGTGGAAGAGGCAGAGAGGTTCGTACCATTACCAGCACCATCGCGGCGGACCAAGACTGGGAAGTCGTCCTTGGTATTGCCCATCTGGAGGAAGGCCTTTTGGTCTTGAGTGGCAGCTGATGCGTCATCACCAAACAAGAAGCCGGCAGTATCGATGTGACCAAGAAGCGAGCCAACATCTGGAAGATTCCCGCGGTTACCGTAGTCCATTCTAGTAACAGGCATGGACATGCGGTTGTTCCTATTTGGGTTAGCAGTGTGAGGCGAAGTTGTGATGGGCCAACTTACTTGCGCGCCGCCGGACTCAGAGGAGTGAAGTCGTCGTTCTCAAAGTCGTCGTGATCCTCTTCGGAATTGCGACGAGATCCTGGCATCGAGTGCGAAGGCAGGTTGCCGTTGCTCTGGAAGTTGGCGGGAGGGGAAGTGACCTGGGAGTTGGCACGGCTACCGCGTGTGGTCATACCCGGGTTAATACTGGACATGCTGAAACGGTTCGGACGCGACAAAGCGGACGGGAACCCGTTGCTCTCGTTGTACTCGGGTGGGGTGGTGGGCTGGCTATGTGCAGGTCCGCCGTAGTGAGCATCAGCCGAGAATCGGTTGATGTCACTCTCGCCGTGCTGGGCTTGCAAGTTGAGGAGCTCCATCTCAGCGTCGAATCGCCGTTTTGCTTCTTTGAGATACTCGTGTTCGATCCGTTTTCTCTCAAGCTAGCAAGCTGTTAGCTGGTCACACGGACCGGCAAGTGCGTTTGTCGTGAAGCAACAGCGTCGCTCGTGGCGTAAGACGATGCAGATAGGAAGAGATGAGGATATAGATAGGGAAAAGAGTCTCAAATGAGACAGAGAAATGTACAGGAGTAATGATAGCAATGCTAGCTTTTGGAGAGGCGGCGGGCTATTGTTGTGGTGCAGAAGAGAAAAAGGCAAAAGACAATTGTTGGTCAATATGGGCGTCGCCTGGACAGGTAGCCTTGGCAACGACTGCAATCTTGCTTCCAGTAGGATTTGTGGGGTGACAAGTGAGAGACGCAGAAAGACGTAGTGAAGTAAACTTACAACTTGGAGCTTGTGGTACGTCTGTTGGGATTGGTCGTTAGCCCAAACTCTTGGTCACCGCGTATTGATAAACAGCTAACAGACAGCAGGTCCGACGACCAGCGCAGCCACACTTTATCGTTTCAAGTGTATCCGACATGGCTGTGGCAGCTGCTGAGTACCGACATGCAGAGCGCCGCGGAGCCCCAACACTAAACAGCCGCCTCTTACTTGTACGAGAGTGCCCACATACCGCTGTAGTAAACTCGGCCGGCTCTGCCGCTTGTCTACGTTGTTGTCCGATTGGCGACAGAGGCGTGCTCATGGTCGGAATGTTGTTGGTGGTGAAGCGCCGCTGCAGGGTCGCGCGGCCATCGCCGTTCTGAGCGGCGCGATTCAGGGAAAGGAACGACTGCTCTTCGCGCGGAGATCTGAGGCCGTTGCCTCCTCCCATGCCTTGGTAGGCCATACTGACTAGAATACTAGAAATACACTGCCGTCAAGTCAGCGCGACTGCCCTGGGAGCTGGTGTGGGGGATTTGCGGGCGGTGTGAAGTTCACATGGCAGCGGCGGCCGCGTCACTGAAGACACGGAAAGCGCATTTACATACAGATAATTCGTACACGGGGCAAATGCCCTTGCTGCCCTCGCTGCTCGCTGTTCTTGGTCGTACAGAGTCGGGACGGAAGCGTGGTTGGAGGCTCGGTACGTAGGCAGGAACGGAAGTCGATGTGGTGCGGGTCGCAGCAGCGCGCACTCGATGGCCTATGCACAGCACGAGTCGTGGGTAAGGACAGTCGGAGGAAGTCTGGAAGTGCTGGCCAACGGTTCAGACTTCAGGCGCCGAAAGAGCAAGTCTACAGACGGAGCGGGAGTGGAGCGTTGGACTCGAAAGCTCAGGGTCCATCACTGATCAGGGGACGATGTGGCGCTCAACTAGTGCTGGGTGGGATTCCGCACATATTGCCCATCTGCTTGTCGCGTACTCTGCCCAATTGAGGTTTTGGACCCTCCTGTTCTCCCGCAGCTGTCTACTGTACATGCGCAGCTACTGTAGAGACTATCTAGCACGCAAACGCGCATCGCATCCCCAGGATTAAACATATGTTGTAGTCATGGCTTCGGAACGCGCAGCTAATCGAATCTGGCAACCCACCTTCTGCGTGTCGTCCCAGCCTTTGGTGCAGCTCCGCGCAGCTGTCACAGCCTTCCGCTATTCAACACGGCCCACTCTAACTCGATATGCGCGGCAAACGTGGTTCTGAATGCTTCTCTACAGCGCGTTCCAGGCCCCTGGAGTGGGATGGAGATGCCGGCGGGCGGTGCGCAATGCCCTCACGTCATCCGGCAGCTCTTCGCCCAGGAAGTCGTGCAGCCAGTCAGGCTTGCAGCTTCTAGTAGTACCGCAATAAGTACTAGGAGGGGCAGTGTAGCTTCCACGGCCGAAGGACTGGCGGGGCATCGATCGTCTCAAACACCGACGTATGCCGCTACGCGTGCCGCGCCATTGCGGTAGACATGTCGTGCAGAAGAATTGGGTGGACTCTGACTGTTTCCTCCTACTGGATGTTTGGTTTATTTGTCAGTAGGCGACATCGACCGGCACTTGTCCGATTCCCTGGCTCTACATCTCACCAAATGTCCTTCTCTTTACGACAATGCCGATCTTCTCGAATGAGGCGCCTCACTCTCCCATGCAGCCGATGCGGTTAGATGGGCCTGACCGCTCTCGTTTCAGAGTAAAGAACCAGGCATTTCCCCGCACGCGCCTTGCATCCGCCAATCAGCAGGGGAATCAGGGTGGGCTTCGTGGAACCGGCTAAAAGCAGGCCAAAGCGGTGCTCCTGTATGTAACGTCGCCAGAGGAAGTAACGCATCCAGAGGCATCGAGCGCAATTGATTTCTGGTTGGCAGGCCTTGACTTGTGACTTCCTCATAAAGTTTGTCGGAGCAGGAAGCAGCAACAGGTATGCAATGAACCAATCAGGTAGGAGCCGACGCCATCGGACCTCTGCACCCGAGGAGCAATGCACGGCTGCGCCTGCCATTCCTATTTGCCACCCTCTACAGCATTCCTGCAGAATTGCCTCGGAGACGGATGCAGGGTGCCAGTGACTGCACCACGGGATGTGCATTGTCACCAAAGTGGCTGCGTTCTTCGAGGCATCATACAGATTGCAAAGAAAAGAGTGGAATAAGCTTGTGAGGCATGTCACGCTCACACAGATTGTTAACGCGTAGTTGCTAGAGCAATCATGGTACTTCCGCTGGTACGCATAACTGCATCCTGAAGCACTTACATACTTGCACGCAAGTGCAAGTGCCCTTCGAGACTACCAACAGCTACAGAGCTTTGCAACCTTTTCCCTACAGCTAACTGGGTGTTCCTCTGTCTTAACGAAACTTTCTGCAATGTCTAGTCGCGATCAAGCACAAGAGAATGCGAAGCCGAGGCTGCGACGTCGTCGGCTCCAAGTCCGCTCAATTAGACAATTTTGGCGTCGTACCTAGGTATGGTCCCCTCTTTTGACGCGATCGGACCCGCAGCGCGCTATATAGACCTGGAGAACATGCATATGTGACGTTCTCCATGGAATGCTCAGGTTGCGCACCTTAACTTAACGTACACCTTGGATGCAAACATAGATATGTCGAAACTATTGCAACACATTATTAATATCGTTGGAACAACTGCTGGTCACATTACACTCAACCCTCTAGTCACGGCTGCCCTGCTCTGGGTGTTGACAAAAGGACCTACACAGCTTCGAAGCCAACTTACAACTCGAATCCGCGCACTTCGGGATCCGTTTCGATATGCACAGCTCGTGAAGGCCTTGAAATGGTGTCTGATAGCTGGAACAGCAAGAGTCGTCAACAAGCAGCTTAACCATGTTGCCCTGAACGCAGGCAGATTGCGAAGTGAAAAGGCAAGATGGAACTGGAGCCAGGAGGTCGCAGTCATCACGGGAGGCTGCAGTGGCATTGGAGAGCTGGTAGTGAAGAGGTTGATCAACAAGAGAATAAGAGTGGCAGTGCTGGACATTCAGCAACTGCCCCCAAGCTTGCAAGGCTGTAAGACAGACCGATACTTACTAGCCATCGCCTGGTACTAACAAAGACGACAGATGCCGGCCTCAAGTTCTTCAAATGCGACATTACCGATTCATCTGAAGTCTACTCGGTCGCCGAGAAAGTCAAAGAAACAATGGGCGCACCTACCATCCTCATCAACAACGCAGGGCTTCTGGCATCCCATACCATCCTCACCACGTCCGACGCGTACCTTCGAAAGATATTCGATGTCAATGTCCTCAGCAACTGGTACACCACCAAAGCTTTCCTACCAGACATGCTCCGCCACAACAAGGGCCATATCGTGACGATCGCAAGCACGGCAAGCTTCGTGGCTGTTGCTGGCCTGGCAGATTATACCGCGACGAAGGCGGCTATCCTGAGCTTCCATGAAGGTATATTTCTTATCACATCTCTTGCTTGCGGCATGCTGACCCACGATAGCGCTCAACCAGGAGCTTAAGCACCACTACAACAGCCCAAACGTGCTCACTACGTCCATCCACCCTAATTGGGTCCGCACACCGCTGATAGAACCTGTGGAGCAGGAGCTCAAGAGGCGAGGATCTCCCATTCTTGAGCCGACGGCCGTTGCCGATGCGATTGTTGGACAAATCATGAGCTGCAGCGGTGGCCAGGTAATCTTGCCAAGCAGCCTGGGCAAGGTTAGTATGTTGAGAGGACTGCCGAATTGGGTACAGGAGAGTCTCAGAAGCGGCGTGAGCAAGACTGTCTACAGTAGTGTGAAATAGGTTTAATGAGATCCTGCGTGTGAGAATTCGTGTGCGAGAATTCGCGACTCTAGCGTGTTGTGCTACGAAGTGCCACCCATCACACACTCCATGCGGCCCCTGGGAAGAAATGTGCTGGCCTCGGCGGCACTCATAAAGCGAAACGCTTTGTGTGGTGGTACAAACGTGACTTGCCGGTGCGAACCAACCGTTTTCAGTAGGTTTGGGGAGAAAGCGTAGAAAACTGCATGCACTGTGCCGTGCCCTACGCATAAGGTGTGTGTGGGCTTTGCCGTGGTGCAGGTGTGCCGGTACCATTCACATCGCTAGCGGCTCGGTGAGTCGCGTGGAAACCACCGAGGAACGCGTCGCGTCTCACTCAATCGACCACTTTACTACAACGACACACAACATTGCGCATACCACCATAGCCGCAGGAACAAACGATCGAAAACATGACAGAACTACAAGAAGATGTTCAGATGGATACCCAAGACATTGAGCTGGAAACACCACCTTCAGACGTCTTCATGGCACCTTCAATATCCAAATCAGGCATTCTTGGCGGGAAGTCATATTCGCACTTCTCGCCCATACCCAAGCAGATTGCAGATGACATGTCTGGAGAAGTCGTGCTAGGTGTCGACGAGGCTGGACGAGGTCCTGTCTTAGGTACTAGCTCCTCTGTGGAAGGCTTGCCCGTCACTAACACATGCAGGCCCGATGGTGTACGCCCTCTTTTACCTACCAATCGAACTTCACCATTCGCTCCTCGCCGAAACGCACCACTTTGACGACTCCAAAGTCCTGACTCCCGAAGTCCGCTCGAACCTGATGCGCAAACTGTGCACCCAAGGCTCAGATCTCTACGAAGCTGGTGGATGGGCAACACGCGTAATGTCTGCGCAAGACATCTCAGCGCATATGCTATCCCCAAATGTGTACAATCTCAATGCGCAGGCTATGGACGCGACAATCGACCTGATCAAAGGAGTGCTGGCACAAGGCGTCAACGTCAAGGAGATCTACATCGACACAATTGGCAAACCAGAAATCTACCAGAAGAAGCTAGAGAGGATCTGGCCCACAATACGGATCACAGTTGCGAAGAAGGCCGACAGCCTATACCCCGTCGTCAGTGCAGCATCGGTATGCGCCAAGGTCACTCGAGACGCAGCCCTAGATGTGTGTTATGAACCCTACCAGAAGCGCAACACAGACGCGAATGAAGACGCTGAAGTCAAGGTGGCTTGGGGTTCAGGGTATCCATCGGACGCGCGGACAACGACCTGGCTGAAGCAGAATATGGACCCTTTCTTTGGCTGGGGTAGCGAGACTCGCTTCTCGTGGGGAACCGCGAAAGAGCTACTTGAAGGGAAGAAAGCGGATGTCACTATTGACTGGCCTGCTGAAGACGACGGCAACGACATGTGCATGACAGACTTCTTCAGTGGCAAGAATGAAGGCGGTGGTGACGAACTGGTTGACTGGTTCGGGAAGCGTGTCACTCAGGAGATGGACGTATTCTGAACGCTTCATGACAGAGACTGTCACCACGAGAACCGCTGAAAGAACAAAACATGCAGGACACAGCGGTCGGGCGCATTTATCGGTCCGTTCCAGACCCGCACCGGGCGTCAATATTGCAAGCAGGGTCTACCAACCGGCCAGCCTCACAAAAGCAACGTCATGCCCCGACCATGGGTTTGACTCGGTTGTTGTACCCGCGCACGAATAAATATACCATCAAGGCAACACAGGCAAGCTTTGAAGGCTTTGTTTCCCCCATGAACCGGATAAGAGTCATGATCAATCCTACGATAGCCGTTTTAACGAAAAGGTCGGCTTTTTGGTCCAACAGATATTTGTTTTCCGGTATTCAAAGTTTGGAGTGCGTGCGTGTCGGTAATTGACTGTACCAACGGTTGTACATACAGTGCACCAACCATGGGTGAAAGCCCGCGCTTCACAACAACAACCGTGCTCCTCAACCATGTCATTATATAGAATACTCGAGTCACCGCCTCTGCACCGCCTTCTTGGACTCTCACTGTATCTGTCAATCCCGATCGCGTGCTCCACGCCAGACACTGAAGACGGAATCATTTTTCACGCAATCACTTAACGCCTATTCTACCCCATCTTGTGAGGCGCATCTTGTCTTTACGGCAGAAAGCTTTATAGTTCTCAACATGTGCAACGACGACCTCGTTTATCAGACCCTTTCCCGAGAAATTAGTGGGTCCAGGCCGAATGGACGAAGAGGAGGAATAGCGAAGCGCGGAGAAGGTAGCCCATCCATAACACCTACCCGCCACGAGCAAGAAACCGAAGCCTCGTACTTTCAAGGTGCGACATTCAACAAAGAAGATGAAGAATCCAATCTCAACGCATACCCTCCCTCGCCACCTCTGTCGCCCAAAACGATAGCGCCACCGAAAGCGCGAACGAGGCAGCTCGCGGAACGCAAACGTGGCCATGTTCGTCATCGCACATCGCTGAAGCGCAGATCGAGCTGGAATCCGAACCTCAAGCAAGAGTTCCTACGACGGGCTTCGATCGATTCTATAATCGCTCCATTTAACGAGACAGTATGGCTTGACTCGGAACGTGGAGTCACGTATGCGCGAAGGAGAAGCAGCGTGATGACTACCGGCGCCAGATCAATATCACCTCGTAGCCAGGGAGACAGACGCAAGTCGCGGAAGCAGTCGACGCTGTTGCATCCATCGTCGCCGAACATTGAGCCAGCAGCTGATATCGATTCCATGTCGGCAAGGAAAGGTTCATCGCTACTCCATCCATCACGCCCTTCTATCGACGCTCTCGATTATCCTGAGCTGAAGACTATCTTCTCTTTACCGCCGAACCGTCTATGGGAAGATGACCGTCGTCGCTGAAACCCTCGCTTACCGGAGCTTCGGCTTTTCGAACCAACAACTGCCATGCTTCTCATGATGTCGTCCCTGTCATGTGAACGTCCGTTGAACGAAGTAGCGGTGGTAATCCGGGCAATGTACAAATTCATTACTAGTGCCACACCAGCGTTCATCCGGCTTATTGTTCCTTACTCTTATTCAACTTTTATGCTCCCTTCGCCACTGCCGTCTATAAGTCGGCTGGTGTATTGTTCTCATCCAAAAACATCTATCGCACTGCATCCGCTCCTAACGATAGTGTATCTCTAAACGGCGAGACCATGACACCACGAAACACAACCCTACCTTCGCGCCGCAACTTTTTCAGAGACAACCTCGTCGTCCATGACAAATGCGCTATTTGTACAGAGCCATTTGATGCGGAACATCAAGCAGCATCCATCAAGACAGCAAATTGCCAACACATATTTGGAATGGAGTGTCTGACCAAATGCATAGAATCTGACCATGGCAACCACAACACCTGTCCCCTCTGTAGAGAACAGCTCTTCTCCAAAATCGACAAGCCCGAATTTGTTGAAGGAGCACGAGACACGGTAGGCCCAAATCACACAATGGTCCACCAGATCCAGACCTGGGGCCAGACTAAGGGATTCGTCAAGACCATGTGGCGTGCCATGTACAAGCTCTACGAATGAGATCAGGTCATTCACGACTCCGATATTGAAGAGGAGATCACCGACTCGCTGGCTCGCCCACCCAAGCGCTACAATAATATCCAGGGCCTCTATATATTCAGTGGCTATCGGCCTGGAATCAGGAGCGAAGCTCAAAAGATGGTGCAAGAACACTATAGGAATGGGAGCTTTGTTCCGCTCATAGGGATGCCGCTCAGACGTTATTTCTACAATATCGAGGGCGTACTGGAATGGCAGATTCAAGGAGAATATTCGACGGATGAAGAAGCGTCAGATGATGATGATGGTGATGATGACGACGATGATGACATGTCGATGGAGGATTCGGCGGAGTAAAAGGTCTAGGAAACTTTCGGTCAACCCTATCACCTTCTGTGCGCGCTCTGTAACAAGACCCAGTACTGTTTCTTTTTTGCAATTCGAAGACACCATACACTTGTAATTGTAGATGCGGCTGCAACAGTGTGCTATACGGTTCCTGCCACTTGTTAGCAGACTGGCGCTGAGCAATATCATCTGCGCGCTCTTACCGCATTGGGCCAACTCCACGTTCACCACGAAATTAACAACGCGCCTTCCCCCACAGGTGAGACCACGTCTGCCAAGGCTTCTCAGGTCCAAGCGATGTCTGCTCCTCGCCAATCTGATCACTTACACCTTCCGAAGTCGCGCGCGCAACAAGATGGGCACGCCATTGAAGGACCGCGATACTTTCCTCGACCAGGGTATCGACATGTATCTAACGTGTGAGCTATGCGGAGACATCCTCATAGGTAAAGACAGATAACGCTCCTCTTTCCGTTCTCCGATTCCTGATACGACTATCTTAGCACAAGACACGGTCTGCCGTATACAGAACGACGTGCATTCATGTCACGCAGTCTACTGCGAGGAATGTCTCCTTGACTATTTGGCAGACAACAACACCTGTCCGATCCATGAAGATGTCGTCCTCTTCCACCTCCCACGTGAGCCTCAATTCATATCTGGGGAGCGCAATGCCACCACCCTCGATCAGATAACGGACGACATCGAAGCTTCCAAGTTCGTCAGCAAGTTGTTCTACATCACTATGGATCTGTATGACTCCGAGCAGATCTTCGACTCTGACATCAAGGAAAAGATCAACACGAATTTGAAGTACATAGGCGAGCGCTACAACCACGTGTCTGGATTGTTCATCAAGGACGAACATATGGCTGGTGTCATGGACGTTGCTAGAGAGATGGTCAAGACGCACTTCAAGACACGGTCGAAGGCTGGCGGATATAAGGCTTACGGATCAAAAGACTGGCTACCGAAGATGGACAAGGCTGTGGGATGGAAGCATCCAATCTGACTTGGCTGGCAGTAGCTATGCTTTTATCGCATGCCATCCGCCTTCGGAGTCGGGATGATTAATGGAAGACGACGCAATGATGCGTTGAAAAGAAGCTGGCTACACGACTGAAATTATGTTTGTCATTTGTCAAGTGGATGGAGAAGGCAGGCTATCATCTGTGGCTTTCAAGCATATGTAAAAGACAGATACGACAAGTCCTAGTCTCATCTTATCTCTCAAACCCAATTGTGATCAAAGAGTACCATCGTATTGCCGATAAGATCTACGATTCACGCTTACCAAACACCATTTCGTAGACCTGCCCCAAAACGAGCTGGCCATGCTGAATAACGCGGTTAAATTCCATCTAGTCCGGCGTATCGCCGGCAGTGCGAACATGAAGGCTATGATACTTCCAAGCAGACTCAAAGCCAACACACAGGCTTCTCAAACACTCGAGTACTTGCATTGTTTTTGTTCCAATCATCTGTTCTAAGAGTAGGACTTCAACACACAAGACAACGAACACCCGACAAACCAAACTTTTATTGCCATTGTCATCGGCGTGTTAAAAGTCTGCATCAATTACCCAAATCTAACAGTCTCTTCTCAGGCGCCTCGCAAGCCATGTCTCCCAAGCGCACGTCTTACTTGCGCTTTGAATTCACCCCAAACACCTTCCACTCTTCAACCGACTCCAACAGCCTCTCCTTGCTCCAGCCTCTTTCCAATCCCAATCTGTACGCAGCGCATGCGCTCTGATATATTCTCAGATCTTCGATCTTCAGAAGCTCACTTGATGCCGAGCGCCTGACTTCCTCCTTCAGCCGGTAGTTGGCAGTGACCATGGGATGCTGCATGGCGGTTGACATCGCCTCGGCGATGCTTTCCCCAAGACCTTTTGCATAGCCGATATTGGCATCGGTCGGTGTCGTGGACGATATGAGCTCGCCGTCATCTTTAGCTTTGTTGCTGACTGTTCTCAGTGGGTTTATGAAGCCCAGGTCTTGCAGCGCTTGGCATAGTTAGTTGGTGGATCACTGAAAGCCTGCAGTTGGCTGTCACTCACTTGGTTTGTTTCTTTCGCTGTTGCTGGCTGGCGCGATGGTAGATTTTTGTTCGCGTTCATGGTGATTTAGCGCGGTTCTTGGGCGATAGTTATGGATATGGCAATAATTCAGGCGGGTAAACGTATGCTAGAATGACTTGGAAAATATAGGAAGTGAGAGGTGGTTTATTGCACTTGCTAAAGATATGTGAGACTTCCGGTTACTCGAGTGATTGCAGGAGCGGTGTGCCCAGGTCGGTCTCTCTTACTTTCTTCACCAATCGCTCTGTGAACAGCGCAGGCTAGGAATGATGGATATTGCATGCACCCTGAACGAGTGGGACACTTTGACATAGTCTGCGGCTACAGGGGCAACGCAAAGTACTTGTCGTTGCAGGCGCAGTGATATTGTGCGCAGTAGGCTTTTGGATAGTCACCTCGCAAAGAGTGGCTAGTGGACTTTTAATTACGAACACAATATATGGGAGTGCTACGAGTCAGTTGATAGCAGTCACAACAATACATGTTCTAAGCATGCTTCGTAGCTTAAGAGTTTGCGAATAGACATGGGAAGTCGTGAGGCAGAACATGTAAAACAGCCAAAAGCTGACTTATTTGCAGTAACCTCGTTGCGCAGCAGAATAATAAGGTTAGGTATGAATCCTGACTCCTGCGTAGATGCTGTGTTCTTTGTTTGGCAGGGCCTTGGTGTTGGTGTTCCGCCAAACCTCAAAAGAATTCCATCTCTTCAACTCAACTACACTCATCTCCCACCACCACCACCACCACCACAACACCGCGACGACGTCTAGACCAGCAAAAAGAATGCATCGGCCGGGAATCGAACCCGGGGCTAGCCGAAACTGTCCAGTGAAGGATGGCAACGGCTAATTTTACCACTAAACCACCGATGCGAAAGAAAGATGGGTGCTAAGCCAGCTGGAGCTGTGGATGTGACCTAACCAGGGGTCGCTTTTGGCGGCGTCAGTGTCGGTATTCGAAGGGGAGGCTTCTGAGAGCTACTTACAACCTGGAATCTCTTGATATCGAACTGAGTCGTAGTCAAGCGCCTTGCCATTGGGCCATTAGGCCAGTTGTTGCTTAGTAATGATGGAAAGACCTTCTTGATAATCGTATATAAAGACAGTTGTTGACAGACAACGAGGCTCGAAGTTTGTCAATATGCAAGACATGGTTTGGTGGGGCAGTGTTGCGGCAGACTTTTTCCCTAGTGAGGAGATTCGATGGTGGGGCATGTCGACCGACCCTGTCAGGAACACCGTTTTCATTATTTGGGCACTTCTGCAGCTGTCTCTACATGCGTGCTCTAGTTAGTATCGAAAGATTTGGTAGCCTGCTCCGCATGGATTTTGCGTTCGTTAATGAACCCCGTGTTGGTCTAATTGTTGGAGCTATTACCTATGACTACGCCGAAGTCGACCGAGCTTCATACACTGCTCTAGTAGGGCGAAGTAATTTCGACGCAAGTCATACATGATTCGAAAACACTCCTGTAGTATGGTAACCATTCTGTTTAGTCTCATGAGCAAAATCTGGGCATTTCCTTGCCCATCTGGTCGGCGTGCCAATCGAAGAAGAGGTTTCTTTTGGGGAGCCTGACGCTGAGATAGCGGGTTATTGTAGTATTCATTTCCGCTTGATATCTGCTGCTCTTTCAGGCTGCTCACCATTCTGAAAGAGCATTGGCGTATACGGTGCTTCGTTGATGCTTTTGAGGAATTGCGTGTAGTGGTGCATCACATCGATACTCTTACCGACATTTCACCTCTTCAAAGTAAATCTGTCTAACCTTTCAGACACCGGGCGAGCGAGATGCGACCGTTCTAATTCTGTATGGCGAGGATATCGACTAGTTGAAGCCGATCGATGCCACTGGGCAGTATTTGAATCAAGCTGCCTGTGTCGTGCAGCTCGCACTGGCTTTCGATAGTAAGAGCGCGCGATCCGGTCTCTGCGTAAGGCATGTGCACTCCCTGCTTTTCGCTGTCGTACGGAACCCAACGGGCTATCCATTTGAGGCAAGAAAAGCGGTTGCATAAATGTTGTGGTATCAGAATATCCAGCGGCTCCAAGGGCTTAGTACGTAGTGAAATCGAGCTTCTCAGTCGTGCGTTACCCGGCGAGGTAGATTCGCATGCGATTCCGGTCATACCGAATCCACAAAATCAACCTCATGGAAGCCCATACTCTCGCACTACCACCACCAAGATGAAATGGTCAAGCGCTGTTCTATCTCTTATACACAGGTCTTAAGGGCAGTTGCGCCAAGCCGGCAGCCATCCGGCGTGGCGTGTTGCTTGCCTTATCCTTCAACCACGAATTCCTACCTGTTCGCTTCTGGTGTACGATTAACAATGAGCATCGGGTACAGCGCAGTGGTCGCTGCCGGATACACGGCTACCAATTAACCTAGTTCTGACCACTTCAGGCGGGCAACTGTGACTGTTATATGCAGCATGGCCGACATGTCTTCTGTATAGTATAGTCACGTTGCTTACCTTGATCCGCTCTGTTCCGCAGCTGCGACCTCTTTACCAAATACGATGGCTACTTCAAACTTCCTACCCGCCTATTTACTCGTAGCAATCACTCTCTTACAGTCCTGTTTCGCCCAGCTCAACAATAACACACCATGGTGTCCCATTACAACGGCGACTTACAACTCCTCTAATTCCATTACAATGCCTAGGTACAACTCCTCTGGTCAGACCAGGTTTCAGATCACATCCGAGGAAGACTGCTATATATCGCTTGCCGTGAATGACGACCGTTCGACCAGCTGAACTACTGCTTATATCAGCCATCCAGAGTCGACAAGCGTAACTATGGGTTGCTTCTATCGGCTCAAAGGTATCAATGCTACAGCTTCGGGAACAAGCGAGAATGGCTGCGAAGGTGTGCTGAGTGCTCAATGCATGGACGTATTGCGCGAAATTTCTTTCCCACCTGTGACTTTCGGGGTCTCCGTGAACGATATGAAATGTGAGAACATCGACAGCGATCGAATTAGAGATGCTTGTCCCAGTGAAATTCTAACCCCATTGACTCTGAAGAGTAAGTGTTTGAGTCTTTCCTTCTACCAGCGCTGATTGCTAATGAAGCGAGGCAGCTCCAGTTCTCGGTTTCTCGGACCAGACGTGTGATGATACACCGCCACCAGGAGAACATGTTCCCGGGCGATACCACACAAGGATCATGGGTACTATTGGAATAAGATATCGTCAATCGGATCGTGACACCGGCAGCTTCGAATCGTATGACGTTTCCGTCAAATGACCTGTACGATCCGTGTTCGCGGCTTACTCGGCCGACGGCACGACAGAAACACAAGTAGTGTGCGTCGCACCCGACCATGTGGCTGAGGGTAGCCGAGAACCCGAAGAAGAAGAGCCATGGGAGGAGAGTGCCGGTGCGCGCAGATCTTGGGTAACAGCTGGCAATGTAGCAACAGTAGCGGCAATCGCAATAGTTGTCGTAGGGTACCGAGATGGACGGCTGATGTTTAGCAGACTAAGGGACAATGAACAAGCGCGAAGAACAACAGTAGCCTTAGCCCGTCAAATGCTTCACCGAAGCTCATACAGACAATCCGTCTATATTATTTTGACCGGACAACGTGCACATCGCTCCGGCTCTGTACATACGGCGACTGACTTCTGGGATTCGTGTAACCAGCGTGTTTCTCCACAGTCACACCATCGAGGTCTTTCCGCATCAAAATAGAACCCCCTCAAGGGCTTTTTAGGTGTAAGGCGAAGATCGAGCGCCTGTGCGGTAGATGGGAGTTTGATGCGTCTCTCGAAAGGTTCAATGATCCTCGTCTGTAATTAGTCGCAGCGCTCGAGGCACCTCGGAGGGGTTGATGGGACTGTGTGTTCATGGTCTGCGGGATCGGGAGGAGACATTTGGGGCGGGTTGCGGCAGACGCTGTGCTGTGCGCATACGCCAGTGTAGGAATGATGGATAGCTTCAGCAGTTGTTGGGTCGAGTTAGTGTGCCAAGGCCGGCTCGTCCAGATTTCCTTCCCCGCCGCCAGCTCCTAAACAGACAAAGCGTAAGCCACCGTCTTCGATGCCACTGGAGAGACACCTTCGCTACCATTCTAACCACCTCCAATACCCCCTCAACTCTATGAGTTCATCGCACACCAACGCATTGATGCTTTTTCTAGAAACGCGTTTCATCATGTCCACCAGATCTGAAGTGAAATGCACCGCCGATGCCTGGGTAGCCAGTGAGCCACGAGTCTATCCCATTGAAGGCATCGGTGCTGTAATGCGCCTCCTCGCGTGGCTCAGTGCAACCTCCGCATTCCAGCCCGTCTCAGACCTTCCATCGTTGATATCTCGTGCTTACAAGGTCTCCTGCATCTCGCATATCGTTGTGGCGCTGGAATTCGCAATACCCGTTCGTCAATCTGAAGATCACGAGCAAAAGCAACGCGACGATCAACCAGTCGCATGCAGGAGAGGACGCGCCATTCTCCACCCATCCACACGAACCCATCTCACAAATACATCCTTGAAGGGCATTAGACTTTGAACTTCGTTTTTTTCTATTTGTTCTTTTGGGGCTGTACTGCAATGCTGCATTGCTACTGCTTCGGTCTCAAGCCACAATCTTCACTACTGCTGTTTCGGGCTGCATGGTGTGGAGACAGAGGCGCATCTACTTTCTCACGATGATGCAATCTCTCATCGGAACGAGATCTCGTCTTCAGAAGACTCTTATGTCACCTGGTGTGCTTGTTACGAACTTGGTAGCGAAAGCTGGTATGCGGGAAGGGACGCCCACCATATTGACCCTGAGAAAGACCCTCCAGAGCCCTGAGATGGCCCCTGGCAGAGAGGATCAGCCTTGAGAAAAGCAGTCGTGTCCTGGACCCGTCCGAGGCGGTACCTGATAATCCAGTCCCCCAGGCGCCCGATAGTATTACTAGAGCGACCGGGCTGTACCTTGGAATGCACTAAAAGCTCTGCAGTGGAGGACTAATCCAAAGGCGCAACGGGAAAACAAAACACCCCGCTCGCGTACCTTGCAGACTATGACAACTCGATTGGCTCCACACTGTGCATGCGCAGCTTTGCTATCTCTATAGCGACGTCGGCGAGGAGCCGTGAACCATGCGCCTGTGTCTGCGGTGCTACCCCGGGCTGAAACGCCATGTCCAATTCGTCGTACAAGACGCTCTCCTCTAAACATCCCGTGCCCCTCTATTCCTCTCGACCACAGTCCTTTCTTCCTGCCATACACTCGTTTCACCCGTGTACTTCTCATCAGACATTCAATCGTTTCAATCACCTCACCTTCGCCTGGTCGACAACTCTGCATGAATACACGGAGCAAACAGGACACTGCTACCGTCAGCTCACGCAATGAGTGTCGATGCCAGCGCAGTCCCAACCACGGAAACTCCTCTGCCCTGGCTAGTCCACGACAAGGGGCCCCTTCATCTTGCCATTGTCGTTACGCTGGCCTTGACCGCGCTGTTGGTTTACTCGCTCAGAGCCTTCACTCGTGGAAAGCTCCTCCGCTCTTTCGGCATCGACGATGGACTGATGGTTCTGGCCGCTGTATGTTCAGTGCAGTTCAACAACATGGTTTCATATTTGCTGACACAGAATAGTTGTGCACAATGGGAATCTTCATCACATTCTCTGGAGTCGTAGAGCTCGGTCTGGGACAGCAGCAAGACGACTATGTCTTACCCGCTAGCAAGACCGTCCAGATGGGCCCCTGGATGTGGGCGTTGAACTCGTTCATCATCTTCGGGCTTGGTCTCGTGAAGCTGTCGGCTGCTTTCACTCTGTTACCTCTTGCCAGTACTAGACGCCAGTCCTATCTACAGATGGGACGCACTTTCCTTCTCATCTGTCTTATCCGTAGGTCTACAGTAACGCAAACTTTTACAATCAAAGCTGACAGACCTAGTACTCGTGTTCTGGCACACAATTGAATGGTTCATATCGCTTCTGGCGCAATGTGTACCACTTGTGGCGGCTTGGGATCTTTCGTACGATAACGCGGCGTTATGTATGTCGCAAAGTGAGTCCGAGATCTGGGCCATGGCGAATTACTGTAAGTACAACATTCTTGGCTCTAACAAACAGATCTAACCCATTAGTTTAGCGATCAACACAGCGTCCAACGTCCTAATGGTTGTCTTTGTTTTACCAATCGCCATCGGTACTCCTTCCAATCTTGGTGCTAAGCTACACATCCTTGCAGTTCTACTATTGGGTCTTTTGTATGTTCTCACAGTTCACAAAAGTGCCTCTGGGGTGTTGGCCGCTAACAGGTTTGCAGTGTATGCGCTGCAGCTATCATTAGAACCCGAACGGTCTACACCTCTTGGGCTCATGTCGGCCATCGCAACAACTTCGACCTGACTTTCACTACTTGGGGTATGGTCGAATTCCTAGCCGCTATGATAGCCGTCAATCTCAGCACTCTGGTACCTCTTGGTAGAGCGATCCGCGATCCCCTCGATACACCCCGCAACGCCCCGCGTGTGGCCGCCATTTCTGGCCCCATAGCCGGCAGCACTGTTCATCTGATTCACGGCGATGTCGACGATCTCGTTCCCAGCTACTCCGAGTCTTACGAACCGGACATGGACGACTCCTACAACTTACGCTATTCAGGCCAAACAGTCATCTACCGCCCTGACACAGCATATTTCCCCTCTCACAGCCATAACAACAACAGCCTAGCGCGCTTTCACGATGATGAATCTAACCTCGACTTCGACATCGAAGCACCCTCAACCCGATCCAGCCCGCGTAGAGTCACAAAACCAGGACCATCTTCACGCTTCTCTGTATCTACCGTAAGTACGCGTAGGATGAGCGGTTGGTCACAACTCAGCGGCTTCACGTACTCTCCGCCCAAAGACTCCGATGCCGATTTCGAAAAGGCGATGAGCGGAAGAGTCAGGATTAGTGCGGCGGAGCTCGAAGAGATTGTGAAGAGCCTAGGATTGAAGAGGCAAAGCAGCCATGAAATCTGGGATAAGGAGATTGGTCTCTTCGAAGAAAAAAGCGAAGATGGGGGAAGTTCCGTCGCGCCCACGATATATCTGGAAGACGATGAAGACGCTGTGGACAGTGCTGGAGTCCTATGCACATGCCCAGCACCACGGGTACGGAACGGGGACGCGGGTGACGCTGCGCTGCAAAGCGAAGCAGACTCGAGCGAGGTTACTGTGATTCGCATACGTGGGACAGCTAAGTGCAGTCTCCACAAGCCTCTCCCGCGCATTCGATCCCGCGAATGGCTCGCGCGCGGATAACAAAGCTACAACAGCTCACATTTTCCCTTTCTTTAACAGCGGTCTTTCCTTGCACACAACATTTCGTCGCAAACCGCGGTGCCATATTTCGGCCGGAGTCATATACCATCATTAGAAAGTTTCTTTTCAGAACATCTCATGTATTATTAGCAAGATGAGATGCAAAGACGCATCTCACTTAGCATTTACCTACTCAGTAGCTACTAAGGTCATAGTCATAATTTCTTTATCTCAATCTGAATCAATCTTGATTTCGTACTATGAAGCGTGTACCTCTACTCAGCCCACCGCTTCTTAACATACTGTGCTTGGTGGCCACCAGGCAGCTCGCTCACCCACGCATCAATCTCCTCTTTGACAACACGCGGAACAGTGCATTTGTTCATCGCAGTGGCATCCTGCGTCTTGAGCGTAGGACAGTTCTGGTAGCAAGGCGAGTCAAGAGCGCGTTGAAGCGCGTCGCCTTGCCAGCCAAACAAGTAATCGCCATGGTTCGCGTAGCCCGTGCTGTCAAAACATATTAGCCACAACACCTTCTAGTACAATATCCCTTGGCTTACCCATCACCAAAACTCCAGACAAAGGGCTGACTGCCATCTTCCGGCCAATCAGCCTTGTTGTTGAACTTGCTCGTATCCCAGATGACTTCGTAGAAGAGCTGGCCCATGCGCACAGGGTGGCTGGCGGGGCAGGGCCCGCCGGATTCGAAGGACCCGTATTCTGGGTAGGACATGTGCGCCATATGATCTGGAGAGTCAAGATTGACTCCGTCCCAGCAGCTAAGGCGTGTTAGACTGGCATGCTGCATATATGAGAGGAGATGGAGGGAAGAGACGTACGTGGGAAAGCGAACAGCAGTCATGATACCAGTCTTACATGGTTGGGTGGGGAAGTCGAGAGTCTGTGGGTCACGCGTGTTGATATTGTCCAAGCAAGTGAATGTTAGCTGACGGAAGCGTTCTGCTTCGTCTTTGGTGCGCGCATTGACGTCGCCGATGAACATGCGGAAGCCAGGTTGGAAAGCTTGCACCTTGGAGGTTTGCTGGAAGTTGTAGAGACCGTCTTGCATGTAGTAAACTGTCATGCCACCGTTGACGCCGTTGAAGCCCGAGTTGGGGATTTGGGGAACGCGCTTGTATGTACCGTTTCTGGCTTTGAAGTATAGCACAGCTGTCCAGTAGTTCTACAGATCCATTAGCGACTTCGTTTAGTTGATAGACGATCGGTTCCACATACGGAGAAGTCCTCGCTGAACTGGCATGATGTGCATGTTGACTCTCCGGGCATGTCCTTCTCTGGTTCCATGGTGACGTTGAAGGAGTTACCTCCAAGAATTTGATGTAAATGCGGCGAGGGAGCCTGGCCTGGCGTGACCAGAGGGTCTAGCCTGTCGATGACTAGCTGAGCGCATGGGAAGCGCAACAGCGCCGTTGCGGGTGCAACAAGCGCAATGGCGGTAGCAGTGAAAACCTTCATCTTGACGAAGCTGGTGCTATTTCGTGTTAAAGAAGAAGAAGGTGGAGGTGGTAAGAGGTATGTTTGATACTCAGTATTTTATACAACAGCGTGAAATATGCATGCGATGCCGCTGGGATCAAGGGTAGTAGTGCCGAGCGGGTATGCTGTGTCGCAAAGGCGGAACTCCGTCTTGGTCGAGATAGCGATGGGCAGCATCTTGCGTTGGAACAAAGCTAATGCACTTTGGGGTTCAGAAGGTGAATGTGGATGCACGATGTCGTCGCATGAGTGGGTAGCCTCCACGTCAACGCTCCCGGATGACCATGTCAAAACGCTATTCATCCACTTGCTTTGACATGACCTATCGTATCGGGCGCTCATGCCATCCATGGCGCTGCTGATCGTATTGCGGATACTTCATCGTTGGCTTGGCCAATTAGCACAATCTCATGATGATGGTGAGCTTGACGTCTTCAGTCAGCGACAGCACCGCTGTGATTGGCAAAGGTCTTCCTAGAGCCCGAACGAGTCCAGTGATGCTACTCTTCGATATTCCACAAGTATTGGAGGTCTTGTCATGTAGTCGGCAGTTGCATGCATGTGAGCTGCGGAACCCATAACGCCCCACTTGCACAATGAGAACTCAGGTCACCAAAGGACCGTGAGTGGTTGAATCACTTCTCGGATAGGATGATGTTCGCGGACGTTGGGACAAGGTTGCGTGAGCCTCAATCTATTCTACTTTGCCGTCACGCCAAGTTGTGGGGTACCAATCCTTACCATTTGTTTATATTGTCCAACCCCCGTTCCTCATCAACGCGTGCCATTCGTACGGATGTCTTGGCATGGTTCAAAAGAATTGCGCGTTTCTCATTGGCCGATCATAAGGTGCCCAGCTGGGTAGCGACGAAGGCCAAAGGTTTGTAGTCGCGTACTAATCGGATTGTTGAGACGTGCAGTGGGCCGAAATAATAGGCTGTGGTATAAACTGGGCTTTGATCGCAAGGAACCAGCCTTTATCAACCGGGTACGCTCCCATGGAAGCAATATAGTCCATGTGGTGCTGTCAGGTATAGACTCCAGAATCTCAAATATCCTTCTGGAACGTCGACTACTTCCGCTCCTCAAATCAGGAAGCTTTTGCATCTTTTTCCTCATTGGACATCTTATCGCACAGTATTTCCTCTCTTTACTGGCTAGAGCAAATTCAACCATGAAAACCAGTACTCTTCTCGCGTGCTGTGTGTCAGCTGCATCTGCCGCTTTCGACTTGAATCGTGGGGGCGCGGTACTCAAAGTGCCTCAAGGAGACTCGTTTGCCAGCGTAACAGGCACCGTGAGTGACTTGCGGGCTGCATGTGAGGTGTGTACTAACTGCAAATACAGTTCACAGTACCGAATTTATCGGGTAGCAACCGACTCTCGATCTGGGTTGGCATTGGGGATACACTTGAACAGGAGAACGTGCTCGGCGGTGGCATCGTGTACAACAGTACGCTCAGAAGCTTCTCCGCATACTTCCCCGGTCCAGTGACAGATACCACTTCGACGGTTCCTGTTGCCAACGGTAACTCCATCACCGTGACAGTTAGTGTGGCTACTGCAGGAGGTACTGTAACAATTGAAAATAAGACGCAAAACAGGAGGACGACACAAACTCTCGCAGCTCCTAATGGGGTGGATCCATCCTCTCTGACTGCACTGGCGGCAAACTGGTTCGTACAGGCGTACCAGGTGATCCCGGGTCAGCTCGTGGCAACACCGAATTTTGGGACAATATCGTTTACGGCAGTTTCGGCGACTACCAAGAGCGGTGCGAATGTCCCAATCTCTGGCGCAGGTCGATATGAGATACAAGGAACCAGTGGACAGGTTAGTTGTACATCTCGTACCACCCGACCCTGCTAATATCTGATTAGATGTATTCGAAGACAACGATATCGAACACTGGTATCTCCGTGCAGAGACAGGCGTAGAAAGAGGGGTGCGATAGTGTTGCTCATGTTCGGAACACGACTTGGAAGTCGCTGCATCGTCGTAGGTAGTCGAGAATAGCCAAGCTTGTGCTACTCCGGTGTTTCATCGATACTTCATGTATGAAATATGCGTGCAGTAAGACAATATCCATTTGCGACGATGACTGAGAGAAGTGGTGAAGGTTGCTAGTGATGATGTGGTGAGTAATGCGCAGGCGATGACGTTCGCTTGGCCTCCCCTCCACATTTCTCGACGCGTCGCGACTTCCCACCTGCGTCGTGCGACAACACCGGCAAGATGCGCTTTAAGGCGTCAATACAGAACATTAACACCTTTACGAGTAGGTGCATAAGCCAACACATCCGTCTGCGACTGACACCATGTAGAGCTCACGGCGTCGCTCAATTCGCTCGGCCCGCTCGCGTGGGTGAAGCTCAGCGAGGAGCAAGTATGCTTCACCATCATACCAGAGCAGGGCACCCAAGTATGGGCGTGAGTAGACGCCTCGTACATTGGTGTCTCTCGTTCTAACCGCATGTAGTGTCCTCTCTATTGTAAGCATACCGTCCCATCTCTGGCTGGCTCGATGTTAATGCGCCGCGCAGGACTCCATCTTTGAGACCATCAGCGTACAGTCAGCAGCGAACAACGTGATTAACCTCGAAGTTCCGCTCACGTCGTTAAATCGCGCCCTCAAGTCGGCCCTCAATGCCACTTCCGCTCAGATACGCCTCACCAAGAAGGACAACCTGCCCATGCTTGCCCTCACTATCGTCACTACCACGTCCTCGAATACGTATAGCGCCTTCCCTGCAGCCACAGCCAACAACGACGATGGCTTCGACGCTGCCTTTGACAATGAATTTGGTGGAGGAAACCGCGAGACCATCGTCACGCAGGAAATACCCGTACGGGTGCTTGCGCCAGACACTGTAGCGCATCTGCATGAGCCCGTCTGTAGAGAGCCAGACGTACACATCATACTGCCTCCTCTGATGCAGCTGAAGAGCATCAGCGACAGGTTCACCAAGCTAGCGCTGGCAGACACCAAGGCAAGCACCGCGACGACAGCATCAAGAACACGACTAGAGGTTGCCGCCAATATGCACGGCTGCCTCAAGATGAGTATCCGATCCGACGCCATGAACATATCCTCTATATGGACCGATCTTAGCAATCCAGAACTTGACCCCGGCCACGTCGCTGGTGGCGAGGATGGCGTAGCTGAACACCCGAGCACACGTATGAAGCAGCTGGGCACGGCGGATGGGCGTAGTGAAGAAGGCTGGGCTACAGTGAGGATCGATGGGCGTGACTGGGGTAAGGTCATGAGTGTGGGCAGGCTGGGGGGACGAGTCATCGCTTGTAAGTCGTACGAACTTCAAACCTGCCAACATGCTAATATTCTCAAGGCTTCTGTCATGAGCATGCACTCATCCTCTATGTTTACCTACCCAACGATAATGGTGACGACGAGTCGGTCCTGACAGTACGTAGCACTCTTCACACCCTCGCTCACCCAGACTGACATCACAGCAGTACTTTATCAGCTCCTACAGCGCATAGCTGCCTTGGCGCTCATGACACCCTCACGAGGCACGAATTAGGTACCTTTGCTCTTGCGACCAGTGTACCGCACACCGCAATACCACCATCCACCGTAGCAGACATCTTTAATCTTGTGGTGGCGAGCGCCACACGTTGACACTTCGACGTGCGAGCCAGAATAGCCAGAATAACCACAACTCTCGACTGTCTCTAGAAATGCGCATAATTAATCGTACTACTCGTGTACGGGCTACGATTGGAGATGGAAGCGTCGGCGAAATTAGCAGTCTATTAGCCGAAGGCAGCAGAAGGATGCCTAGAACACCAAACCGCTTGCACCACGCCGAGGCAAAACCTCATGCTTCGAGCTGGCTTGTTACGACAAGTATAAAGTCGGTTTCTCCTCTCAGTCCGACAAGCGCTCTATAATTCCCTAAAACATAATATGGGTGAATCAAAAGGATCCCCCTTCACCGCCTCATTGCCCTCCCACCCATCTAACTTGAGCGACCTTCGTGCAGTCAATAGCGACAGCTCATGCTTCATCACAAATCTTGCGACTGAACTCGTTCATCATATCATCGACTACATACCTCCCGCATCTCAGATTGACTTCGCATATACCTGCAAGCATTTATTCGCATGCTCTACAGATGTTCTCAAACGCCATCGCGACGCTTATACAAAGTATGGTGTCTCGTCTGATATTGACCCAACGACTGTTCCCACACTCCTCCGAAGCGCTTACGGATATTGTGACCCAATCCTCGCCTGGCACGTTCGAAGTCTGGAGGTTTGGTATGATCGTACAGGATGGGACGCATGGAAGACGCTTGACTTTGAAGTTCCGGTCGATCAGAGCCTACGCTCGCCAATAACCTGGGACTTCATACCCGGTGAAATCGACGACTATCTGGAGCCATTGGATCAAGCACAGAGTGGCTTGCTTCCCGCACGCGCTGAGGAAGCACGTACGCAGATTGTCGAGGGCCATGACATTTACCTTAAGGCTCTCTTGATTGCAAGTTGTCCTAGGCTTCGGGACGTCAAGTTCGTCATGACGGCGCGTGGTGGGACCGCATCGAGATCATGTCTCGACTGGCTTGAAATCTTAATCAACAACTCGTACAACAAGAAAACTCCTTGGGGACCAGGCCTCGAAAAGCTCAGTTCGGTCGCTATTGGTCTGCCCACCGGAACTTGGATGGATTCCGCCTACCATCCCAATACCTGGCCTTCCAACACAGGCTTCCTCATGCAACTCCTCCGTCTCCCAAGCCTGGAAAAACTATATTTCAGAGACTGCGAAGGTGTTCAAGACGACGATACGCCTTGGGAGGACCTTCTACCTGCTGAAACTTCTCCCATCAAACACCTCTTTTTGGACAATTGCGATGAGTTGGGGCAAGAATTTATCGCTGCTCTTATCGCTGCCCCGTCAGGCCTGATCACAGCCTCTTTCCGTGCCGGCAATGCTCTACTCGAAGACGCGGATTCACTTGTTCGCAATCTCGGTACCTCCCAAGGAAACACCTTGGAAAGCCTGATGTTCTATGACTACCATGACAAGCCAAGGAGTATTCACGGGTATCGCTGTTCCGCCTTCCGCCCAGAAGAACTCAGCAACATGAAGAAATTGAAGCACCTCTGCATAGATATCCAAGACATCGAGCTTGAAGCCTGCTACAACAGAGATGACAGCGCAGAAAAATGGGAAAGCGATGGAGCGTACCTGGAACGCTGTTTCCTAGAGAGTGTATGGAGCTACGAGGTTCTGATCTTGTGGGGATCGCTCAGCGAATATTACATCAAATGGGAACCAAACGAGGAACAAGGCTTCGAAGATGCGATTATCTCTCTAATCGGAGTTCCAGGGCCTGAAATTTTAGTACCACAAGCTGTGTATCTGGAGAATGTGGAGAAAAGCAGTGGGCCAATTACTACATTTAGTCCTGGACGCGGAGGAGAACCCTCGCCCAACGAGAAAAGCAAGGTCTGGTTTCGTCGTGCGATTGAAGTCGCGAGGAAGAGGGGTAGGGATCTTCACACGCTTACGAATCGCACCAAGCCGCGTCATCAGATTCAGTTCCCTGAGGCGCCTGACAAGTATGATCTCAAAACTGGTCCGTGGGGCGAGAGACCGCAGGATTGGGTCTTCAATGTGTATACGGGTCGAAGGGAACCTGAAGGCTGTGGGAAATGTGGGAATTGTAATGTTTGTCTTGGGTACTATAGTAAAGAGATGTGGGATGGGCTGGAGAGGGAGCCGGGAAGGGTGAGGTATGATGGGAGGGACGAGAGTCAGACCTAGGACAACTAGGATGGGGTGAGAGGCTAGTGGATCCTGCGAGAGATGGCTGCTTACACCCAATTACGTCTACTAGTATTCCAGACACTTACTGTAGGATGCAAAGACTTCCATGTTTAGCACAAGAAAGAAAGGACAGTTCACTTAATAAGTGGGAGTGTCACGTTGAACAACACATTGGCATACATTTGGACAATACAATCACATTCAGAGAATGTGGTGTATTCATCACCTTGAATCATCATCATCCACCATCTACTTCCCCGCATTGTCAACATGCTCCCTAAGCTCCTTCTCGTTCTCCTTCGCCAGCACGCCCCCATTCGACTGCGTAGCAACAACGGAGCTCCGCCTCCTCTCCGCCTCATGCGCCTGCTCCGTATCCGCATAGTCAACAAGCAGCTCGCCCTTCTTGCCATAGCGATGCGGCAAGTTGTGAGCAATGCCAACAACATCAAACGGACCGCTTGCCTTGTGGAAGATCTCGTCCATCTCCTCGAGGGAACGGTATGCAGTCTCTGGGAAGAAGAAATATACCGAGGGTACCATTGCGGCGTTGATAACGGCGAAGATGATGTAGGTTTGGTAGCCGATGTTTGCGAAGGCCGGGGGTGTGATCATTACGACGAGGAAGTTGAAGATCCAGTTGGCTGTGGTGGAGATTGCGTTGGCGGGCGCACGGATAGATAGCGGTGTGATTTCTGCGGGATACAGCCACGTCATGCCTAGCCAGCCGATGGCGAAGAAGGAGTTGAATACGAAGAGGAAGACGGTGGCAAGGAGACCCAGGCTCGTGTTGCCAATGTTGCTGGTTGCGCCTGCTAGCACTGCCATGGACATGGACATGCCGGCCGCACCGAACATCATCAATGAGCGGCGTCCGAACTTCTCGATTGTGAAGATAGCGATCCAACTAGCCATCCAGTATTCGGTGCCGTTGCATGCGGATAGTAGGCGACTAAGGAAGGGCGAGAGACCGATGGAGTTTTCGAAAATGGTTGCGGCGTAGTAGGTTACCAGGTTAATACCGGAGATCTGTAGTATGGTTAGTTTGTATTGCATAATTTGTAGGGACAGCGAAACTTACTTGTTGGAACATCTGGTTGACATACGCCAACACAGTGCGGTGGAAGTTGCGGTTCTTGTTCCTCTTGAAGCAATCTCGGAAGCCACCACGCGACATCTCCTCAGTAACATCCTTCACAGCTTGGAATTCGGCCTCGACTTTCTTGTCGTCCATGGGAAGGTCGCTCAACGCCGCCAAAACTTCCAGAGCCTCTTCCTCGCGCCCCTTGAGTACCAACCAACGCGGACTCTCGGGAAGACCAGGAATCATAACGAGAATGAACAGGGCCAGGATGATTTGGAAAGCGATGGGGAAGCGCCAGGCGATGCTGCTGGGTTCGAGGAAAGAGAATCCGAGATCGAGCCAGTAGCTAAGCATAACACCGAAGACGATCATTGAGCCTTCAATCATGACCATCTGCCCTCTGCGATGTGGTTTCGACGTCTCGGATTGCCATGTCGGAACTGTACTTGTGTTCATGCCGTTGCCGAAACCGGTGATCCATCGTCCGACGATGAGCTGAGCGAGACCGTACGATGCTGTTTGGAGGATAGCTCCGACTATCATGATAGCGCTGCCGATGAAGATGGTCTTCTTGCGTCCGAGCATGTTACCGAGCCAGATGGTTGCCACAGCGCCGAAGAAGCAGCCGAGTGTGTAGGCACCGACTGGACGAATATTAGAGACAACAGAGCTAGATATTGAGCGAGCTTACCTGTGATGGCTTGGATAGTCGCGGCATGGCTTTTTGAGCTCCCTGGGGGCGGGTTGTTGCTGTCGATTTCGGGGAAGTATTTGATGAAAGAGCCCAGCGTGAGCAAACCGCCCATTACACCTTGATCTGAGCCAATGTTAGGACTGATGCCGACCGTGATGGCATGCATACTTACCATAGCCGAAGAGCGCGAAATCCGTGCCTGCAATTACAGCAATAGCAATGTTGAGCTTAGTGCCCTTGAGGCCATAAAACTTGCCCATCTTGTATAGTAATACCAACGATCAATGCTTGTTGTGCCAAACAACGAAATAGAAAAGGCGTCGCGACAGAACAACAATACCAGAGGCCAGCTCGCTTCCAGTTCGTGCGAGGTGCGATCGATGAGGTATGACACAGCAGGCGCGACGTCCTCTTAAGGAATTGTGAAAGGGCAATCGCGACTCTCTGCCACCAATGTAACAGTAGAGTCCGTTCTCACGCGGCCATCCCAGCAATAACGCCGAACCGCCCTGTCTACCGGCGTCATCCCCACAGTTTGCTCTCGACGATGACGTTTGGTCTGGAGCCGCTGTTGATCTGTACCCCGTGGAGTTTGGCGTGCGGAGAAAGACACACTACCCGATCGCACGGGGATACCAGGGTCACCCTGTGTGATTCGTCGCATTTCACCAGTCAGCTCGTAGTCAACCATCGGAATTACCGCAATAGGTACTCCCGGCGCATTATGATGTCGCTAACAGGGTGAAAGTTCGCGACACGGGCACACCAAGACGGTGTTTCGCGCCGCTTTGGTGCTTGGTGGCTAAGCATCGCGAAGGCGCGAAAAGCTCCGGCCTAGTCCGATGCTTCGGCTCGTCTAAGAAATTGCTTAGGCGGCTTGCCAAAAAGCGTAGTTCCGCACGTCAGCACTTGTGGGAATAACCTGGGAGATGCCTAAATATGTCCTCGTTTCGAAGGGACGGATGCTGTTAAACCCAAGTCTTCGGGGAGGAGTATGGTTCTACGGTAGGTGTGCCGGTTGAAGTATCCAGCTTGCGGGATTTACGATCATCAGGGACAGGGTGCGTCAACCACGCGACAGCACCAAGTTTTCTCGGTTCGGATTAAGGCTGTGGAGCCGATGGCTTAGGGCAGACTTCTTTGTGGAGAACGTGCAGTTGGAGTTGCACTGTGGGTGTACTAAAAACTTGCATGTGAGTCCTTTCGATGCTGCCCAGGTGGCCCACTGCATTTTTGGAGTAATGTTCACCGCGAGTACCCATGCGACATCTCGATCATGTTTCGACACCCGTTGCATTTTCTATCAGATGCCGCTAGCATCGTTATCTGCATCTCTTTCACGCGTCTAACTGATGCGATGATGCAAACAGTATACGGATCACATCGCACATGCATACATCTTCGATTCGATGGCATTTGGAGTCATTTAAGGTCCATTGTTTACCCGAGATGACTAGTTGTTATATCTATGAAGTGGTCTGGCCACTATCTCCATACTCAAGGTCCCCAGGCCTTACGCTCCGTCTCCATCAACGCATCGATCGGCTCTGTGAAATTTACTGGTCGCATCACCCCGTTCAAGTCCGACGCCGAAATCACTGTCCTGTATGTGTCGAGATACTGGTCTAACTTGGTCCCGATTGAACTAGTGGCGGGCCTTGTTGCGTCCTTCTTTGTAGGAGATGGGGCAGGTGTGGGGGTCGCAGAGATCATTGGCTTCTGCAGTCGCCTTTTCTTGTGTTCTTCCACAATCATCTCCATTCGGCTTTTGTTCAGCTTCCAGGTAGCCAGGTTTCTTGCCGGTAACACCGTCCGTTTGAACATACCTATCCCAGCGATGACAGGCTCGACAAGGCCCATACCGATGTAAGTATCAGCTTCCCATACAGGCGCAGAAAAAGAGTTCAACAGCCCCTGCATTTCGCCCTCATTCTCCGTTGTATCGTAGATGGGTCGCTTCAAAGGATCAGTTGACGCTGTTACAAAGTCGCCAAAGCCATCGTCATTTAGGTCAGTGGGCTTGGACTGGAGAGTATCTGGCTGAGGAGGAGATTCATTCGTTGGGGGCAGAACTGCCTCTGAAACAGAAGACAGACTTATCTTGGGACCGGCAAGTGCGCAATTTGCGTCCCAGGCGTTCTGTACAGATTCAGCTTCACTCGCCGCGTCCAGAGGTGGCGGAAGGCTCATGGAAGAAGTGAATTGATCTGACGGCATAGTGTTCATATGGGTTATGTGGTTGATTGATTGGAGGTTTCGATTTTTCGAAACAAGGAGGAAGCGCCTGCCTGAATGTTATGATATTCATTCACTTCGCTGACCGTTATGAATACTAAACGTGCCGTGGCTCATGACGTCCCAAAGTGAATATATAAAGAATTGAGGCATTGTATGAAGAGATCGTATCAACCCGAGAATCGCTGGAAATGCGCATCTGGCGCGAAGACGAAATGCTTTTCCTAGGTCGTTAAGACGCGAACTCCGCATCCCATCGCTGAACGCCAATAGTGTGACAATGCTAGAGGTATCATACGCGCATGGCTTCTCTCGCGGCGGGCTCTCTCTCCATCTCGTATTCGATCTCGCGTCTCGGGCCCTTTGAGTCCTTCGATGGCTTCTTCTTGGGCTTGGGTGGCGGACCAGCAGGGCGCTTGCGCTTGAGATTTGCCAGTTGTTTCTTGAGAGCCTCTGTATCCTCATCTGCAGACTCATCCTCCTCATCTTCTTCGCTACCGCTTCCGCTCTCGTCGTCTTCGTCACCTGAGCCTTCGTCAGGGCTCTGTCCGCCTATCCAGTCTTCAAAGTCCTCCATCTCGTCGTCGGATTCGCCCTCAATGTCGCTTACGTATTCGACTTCGCCGACACCGTTCTCCATCTCGTGTTCGTATTCGTTCTCGTCTTCCTCTTCAATACCTTCGTCCAGATCCTCGTCGCCCTTGAGTTGGCCCTCTTTCTGCAGTCCGCGCATGACACGCTTCCAGACATTTGGTTCGACATTAATCCTGTCTTGCAGTTAGTCTCAATTTCATACCAAGAATGAGTAAATGCTTGACAATGTGACGGTGCTCATTAAAAAATTAGAGTGTTGTTGTTGTTTTTAATCCTCATCGAAGGATCTCAGGGTTAAAAAGATAATAATCATGGCAGCAGTGGGAAGAGGGGATTTGAACTTACGGTCGGTCACCGTATGCGCCACTGCGCAGACGGTCGATGAGCACTCGCTCGATGGCGCGCTCGACCTTGGCGGCTGCGAGAGCTTTGCGCTCACGGCCTTCCTCTCGTCGTCGGACCTTGGGTGCCAATCTAGGAACTAGGCGCTCTCCTAGACGCTCTTCTTCCTTGGCCAGTTTCCGTATCCTTATGTTGACTTGAGTAAGACGAGTCAAGCGCTGCTTGTTCTTGTGCTTAAGAAACTTTGGGAAGTATGCGAGGTGTTGGTCTACCATCTCGAGCGCTTGGCCATAGTTCTTGGGAAGCTTTATCTTTTCCCACCATTGCGACGGAAGATGTGCGCGTTCGATCGCTTTGATGTATAGGTACAAATCACCGGTCGCGGGATCTGAGCGAATTGTGGCATACCGTGAGTTCGCGAGGGGGCACGACTGCTTGGAGCAGTAACCTGATACGTTGTGTTCGTTTCTGCAGAACGTTTGGTCTTTTGTGGTCTTGAGTTCTGAGTGAAAAGGGTTAGCATTACTATCCTTTAGGAATGTAGAAGGCTACATACTAAAGCTGCAGAAGTCGGTTCCAATAACGGACCAGACAAGATCGTCCGAGGCCATGGCGGCAATGAAGTCCTTCCGCGGACGCACGTGAACACAGAATCGAGGGTCCCTTCAGCAGTAGTCTTTCAACGCGGCGAAAAACGAACAGAGGGGCCTTCGGGGTATCGTGTGTGCGTTCTGGCGCGAAAGGAACAGGTGTTGTAGTGAGAAGGTAGACATGCGACGATCTCAAGAAATTATTATCTTAGCGCGTGCACGGGCCATTGCGGAGGTGCAGCGGAGCCACCATCAATTCCAGATGCGACAACGATGTAAACCTCAACTGGCGGAATGAGAGCCGTGGTCTCATCTCTCCGTCGCAGTCCTTCTAATCAATTGAGAGCGTCTTCTTCAATAATCTGCGCTGTGTCTCAGTCGTCCCATGTTACGCGAATCGCATCGCTCCACCATGGACCCCTCCATCCTGTGCGGCGCACCTTGACTACGTCCCAACCGCGTCTGTACCATACACATACTAAAGAACCGACAATATATGCGCTTTCTACTGCTAGCGGAAGGGCAGCAATAGCTGTCATTCGTGCCTCGGGTCCGGCATGTAGGCAGGTCTGCATCCCCCACCCCATGATCGATTCCCTTCCTTACGCTTCGCAGATATACGAAGGGCTATGTCCCTCTACAGCATTTCCGAAGCCTCGCCAGGCGACCCTACGCAAGCTATATACTCCTCACCTACCCCCTTCGCCCGCAACGATACTCGACTCTGGTGCCCTCGTACTCTACTTTCCCGCGCCCAATACCGTGACCGGAGAGGACGTGCTCGAACTGCACGTACATGGCGGCCCGGCTATTGTGCGTGCAGTACTGTCAGCCATACCTGAATGCGCGAAGAAGCCCGGGGTTCGCAAGCCAAAGCGCCAGGAGATCCGCTATGCTGAGCCTGGCGAGTTCACACGGCGCGCTTTCGCCAACAACCGAATGAATCTTCCCCAGATCGAGTCGCTAGGCGAGACACTTTCTGCCTCGACTGAGCAGCAACGCAAGATTTCAGTGAGGGGGACAACGTCCTCACTGGCAGTACGATACGAGCACTGGCGCATGCTGTTGCTGCAGGCCCGGGGCGAGCTGGAAGCCTTGATCGATTTCTCCGAAGACCAACACTTTGACGAATCACCCGCTGTCCTATGCGCCTCCGTCGCAACTCAAGTCCGTGCCTTGCAGGTGCAGATGGAGGCGCACGTTGCCAATGCCGTTCGTGGAGAGATGCTGCGCAATGGTATTAGCGTTGCGCTTCTCGGTGCACCCAACGCAGGCAAGAGCAGTTTACTGAATCGCATTGTTGGAAGAGATGCCGCCATCGTCTCCGAGGAAGCCGGCACAACGCGCGATGTGGTTGAGATAGGATTGGATCTGGGTGGATGGCTTGTTAAGATTGGAGACATGGCCGGCCTTCGCCAGGCTGGTGTCGTAGGCGCGACCGTCGTTGGGGCCGTTGAACAAGAAGGCATCAAGCGCGCAAAGCAACGAGCACTTGAGTCAGACGTGCTGGTTGTCGTTCAAGACGCCACAGCCGAGATGGATCCTGAGGTTATGGCGACGGCAAAGCAGTGTGTTGATGTCGGCATCGAGGTCATCGTTGCCCTCAACAAGCGCGACCAACTCTATACGTTTGATATCTCACGGACAAAATGGGAAGAAAAGATTCACTCCGCGCTGGGCCTTCCTAAAGACCGCCTGTGCTTCATCACTTGCAAGCCATGCATAGGGCCGACGCTTCACCCAACTTGCGACAACATCCCGGAATTCCTGACCATCTTGCAGGATACTTTCAAGTCTATGACAGCCGCGTTGGTTCCTGACTCGGATCCCGATCCCAGCATTTGGCAGGAGTCATTAGGCGCAACCGAGCGTCAACGCCTTCTTCTCTCCGAATGTCTCAGCCACCTTTCCGCCTTCATCACGACCGTTACCGAGCCCTCGGCAGATACTACCAGAACCGGTGAGGAACTATCAGGCGAGGCCGACGAGGTCGATATTGTGGTCGCTGCAGAGTGCCTTCGCTCCGCCGCCGACGCACTGGCCCGCATCACAGGCCGGGGTGACAGCGGCGACGTGGAAGAAGTGTTGGGGGTCGTTTTCGAAAAGTAAGTCACTCTGACCTGTATCTCGCTTTCATGTCGTGTTACGTTCTGGAATCTTTGGCAAGGCGTTCTACATTTTGGCCCCCATCCGAGTCAGACGGTTGCATCCGAAGGGGGCTAAGTGGGCGTTACTGGGGAAAGCCACAACGCTTATAGCAGAGGGTGTCTGTGCAGTATCGATTGCTGCATAGGGCGTTTGGATAACCGAACTCTTTCCCCATGATGCTTGCCGGCTTACGTTCAGCTGCGGTCGCGAAGAACACATGACGAACCTTTGCTGACGTCAACGTTCTTACAGATTCTGTGTTGGAAAGTAGCGAACGCGGTCACGGTACTGGCGGTGCTTCAAATCACAGGTTGCAAGGACGATGTTGTAGTGTGGGAAGAGGGTACCGTCAAGGTATCAATTGTCTATTCTAGTCATGGAAGATGTGATGAAGCTCTACTACCAAACCTGCTGGTCATTCAAAATGCCAAAACGCCGTAAACAGTGGTATAGAGGAAGAGGAAATCTTGATTGAAGAGAAAAGCAGAGTAAACCGGAAGCAAACTTGAAGGCAGTACGCCAAACGCCAAACAACTCCTTGTCTAAATCCAGTACCCAGTTCCGTTACCCATCGCTCAGTGAAGAGCTTATCCCAACCTTTCCAAACGCCCCAAAATGCCGTGACATACAGTTCTCATGATTCCATAATCCATAGCAGATAACCTGTGTCCAGGCCCAAAATTCCATCGCTCGCTAATGCCGATTGAGAACAAGAAAGCAAAAATGAAGAGGAAGATAAGAGATAAAGTGAGAAGATGTTGGTACATATGAGAATGTGTGATGATACAGAGATGAAAGAAATATGAGGCTGAAGGAAGAAGTACATGGCCGAGGTCTAGGAAGTTGAAGAGGGTCTCCATCGTTCGAGGCGTCTCGTGCAGAGTATTCGGATGGCGGGAAGTGGCGGGAAGTGGAGTGTGATGGTGTGAGGCGTAGTCATGATGAACCACGCCGCAATGACGCTGATGAATGTTTCGGATTGCGGGAACGCGGGAGCAGCCGTGGTGCTTAGTTGTAGCCTCCGCGACCCATGTTGGCCGATTCTTCTTGAGTGTTTGGTGGTGACATTGTGGTTGATTTGTTTGTTCGACTTTGATGCTGATTGACGTGCGGGCTTGATGAACAAAAAGCCAGGTCTTTGGTGTTGGTACGAATGCGCAGGCCTTAGTTGTAGCCGCCGCGACCCATCAGGGCAGTGTCTTGAATGAAGTGTAGTTGAAGATGTGTAGTCTCAGAGTGGAACAATGCTGTTCCTAACGAAGACACTGTGCGTGGGGTATAATATAGCAGGAAGACGCGGATGAAACAATAAGACAATAGTCGAAGACGGAAGAAGATGGTGTGAAAGGATGCTGAATGAGTGAAACTTTTGACTCAAAGGGAAGAAGCGACTCGACTTATATGAAACAAGAGGCCGACAAAGACACCAGAAAATGCAAGAAAGCGGACTAGGAAAGGACGAGGGAAGAAAAAGGGCGTTCGGCTATGGTGACTGGGACGGATCGGAATCTCTTGCTTGCTCTGCTTGCCTGCTTTCCCATGGTCCAGGCATCCAAACCGTCTTTATACCGCACAGTTCACCTACCTGTTCTCCCCTACACCACCAACCAGAACGGCGGGAACTGGTGGCGGACGGACCCTGGTTCAAGCCACGAACAAGGCATCTAGTCATCATTTTCTCTTACTCGCCGGACGACTGCGCAGCACGCGAAGCCGTCTGCTTGGGTAGACAGGAATAAGTTTCAGGGTCTGTGGGTGGGTGCGTGGCAGTGAGAGGGGACCTGTGCCCGCGGGTGGGAAACTGGAGCCGCAATGCAGTGCACGCGCCAGGTGGATAAGATGAGCGTGCAGCAGCGTGCGCGGCTGATAGCATCCCTGCTGCTGATTACATGGAACCATGCGGAAACTGTGCGACACAGGTGTTCATTGGTGACTTTATGGGAATGCGATTGCAAAGCAGAGGGAATTTCAGTCCTCGTGCGTCGTGCTATGACGAATAAGGTGTGTTTCTGCGTTGACGACGCATATCTGCCTAGCACCGCTTATACCTCTTTCACCAGGATACATGTGTCTTCTTCTTCACCACTACCACCAACAATACCCCACGCCGTTAGGTACAATCTGAACGCGTGCAGCACCCGCCAAGGTACTGTCTCGACAAGCGCGGGTCGTGTTGCTATTGGCCTGCTGTTGTAACGCACGACACAGTCATACAACATCATCACCGACAAGCATCTTTCCCTACGCCAGACAGTGTACCTGCGCAGTGCACTCACACCAGGTCGCAAGAACCTCTTCGAGGCAATTCATCGTTTCCCGTCGGTCGCGCATTCGGGAGACTTGCAGTTTCGAGTCAATTATCGTGCTCGTCACACTGTTACCCATCCATCGCGATCCCCCGACGATTGCTGTGCTGCATCTCGCTTGGACAGGGCCGTTTTCCGTGGACCGCTGGGGAGGGCAATGCTAGACGTGTAACACGAATGCCTGCAAGCCATGTGCGAGCGCAAACTCCTTCTGGGCAGCGTTGCAACCTGCTGTTCCACATTTGGAGGCCGCCCCATGGGCTTGGGTCGTCTGAAGCAGCGAATAGGGCTGCTCAGGTGGCCAAGATGCTGTTTCGAGCCCACCGGGGGATACAGTGCATGGCAGTGCGTTTGAGCCTTACCCGCCCATATGCCTGCTATGTCGCGCGGGGGAACTCTACACCCATGCCCGACCGTTGGTGCCTGGAAGCTGGGAATGATGCTGCGTTTGGAGCATTGTGTCCGCGGCAGTCGCCGACGTGTGCAGCCCGATCATGACGGAGTATGAGTCTTCCGGTACTCCTCCTTTCAGCGCACAATGTCCAGCTGGATGCACTCCAAGCCCCTTGTTACGATAATGCGCAGTTGTTGTGCCCTGGATTGGGTTAGTTGCCGCTGCCATACACCAACTTGGTCGGAAACGCCTCCGGGATGGTATACGTCGATGCAGGAACAGAGTTCGCGCAATGCGGTACGTGGGCTGAAGACGAGGGTTGTGTCCACTAGGGCTGTGAAGTAACGAGTCACCGGCGACTATGCGACTAGTTCATTCTTGGTCGTTGTCGCGACTGGCTGATCCGAATTTCCGTCAACCTTCACTCTTCTCCCGTACGGACAGTAAACACTGCAAATCATATCAATTCAGCATTCGGACAGCGACATACCCGAAGACGCCCAGAAGCTTGAACAAGCCTCGATCAGCCTTATCCATATACTGGTACGTCCTATCAGAACGGATGCTATACCGTGCGGAAGCAACAAGTGTAAGACTTGGCCAATATAACTTGCATAGACGCTCACGTTCTTTCGGCTTCTCGTTCCACTCGGCATCGGGAGAAGCGCCACACTCGCGTGACGGAAGCAGGAAGGATGTAAACGAGCAAGCATGCGTCACGGCATCCCGGCAACGTGGATAAGAAGTTATGATGCATTGCGGCAGCGCAAACCCCTGGCACTATCTATGAACTCCGATTACAATCGGTACCCAGGGCAATGGGCACCGGTGATGAATGGATCACTGATGCAGATGAATGCGATTTACCGAAGCACAAGGCTGAATAGTAGGCATACTCGATCGTATAGCACGCGTGCTTTATCGCTATCGATTAACGAGCCAGGCGATTGGCGGACGCCTCGGAAACAAATGAGGTTACATCGGAGGATGACACTGGCAGTATTGGCGACAGAGGGCTATACGATACACCCACACCAACATTGCACATTTCGCCGACCTTCATATCTCACACAAAGACGCATACATCACCGACACGAAGCTCTACGCGCCCAGCTCGCAACATGTCTACTCGGCTTGACTCTTGGATACAAGAATATCTGCAAATTCGCTTCCACCTAGATAGCCCCCCAAAAATAGGACTTCAAGCCATACCGATCTTGCACTCATGCACTCTTCAAACAAGCGCGACAACCGCTTGTAGGGCTGACTGAGCCGTCATGTCAGCGCATTCACCCGATTAGGTATTTCCGCGTAGCTGTCAAGCTAAGCCAGCTCATTGGCTGGACCTGCAGTAGCCCAGATGTATTTTGGGACAGATGTCACCTGCAGCCATTTTGCCTATCTGAGGGTATTTGGGAAGATTTAAGTCAGATGAAGAGCGGATTTGGGTTATTTTGGGGCGTGGAGACTACTGGATTGGGATGTCACATGTGGATTACGAAGCTCCCTCGACGTTCAGTGAAAAGCGAAGAAGTAAAAGCGATCGGTGTTGTAAGAACTTAGCTTACGATCTCGGACATGGAACGACGCACGATACTAAAGCACTCGCTTCGATAGAGACAGGCGGGAGTCATACTGAACCAAGTAATTAGGTATACGGCTCACGGTACCACTTCAGTTCAGCATCGCAAGTAACCAATCTTCCTCCTGGACTAGCAAAGAACATTCAACGCGCTTTCTAGCGTTTGGGTTCGTATGTTCGTATCCTCATATGCGTACCTACGGAGTTCCGATGTTACGCAGTTTCGAATGAGTGCTACGAGCGACCACTTGCCAGTCTGCATCCAGTCTCAACAAGAATGAGGACATCGAACATCTTTATGAAACACGCCCGAAATACAGGTTTTACAATTTAACCCCATGATAAGAAGGCTACCAGATCGGAGACTCTTCGAGAGACGGTGCACACGCCCTACGTAAGTCGGTGGCTTGGTGCCAGCGCAGCCCTACATAACGGTCCACTAGATGAAGCCCAACGACTGGAGAGACTACTCAGTGTCCAGGGTATCCTTTGTTCGGGCCCTACAAACCAAGCGGTGACTGGTTTTAAGTTCACGGCTGTTCCCGAGATAGCGGATGATTACGTTGCTGCTGCGGAGAATCCTTGGCGTCGTCTGTTCGGGCCTTCACGATGTAGCAGGCAAGGTCATAGTGAGCGCTGCAAAACCAATCCCCAAAAAGCACATAGCCACGTCGCATGCCAAAGCCCTTCATCCAGGTCGGTCCTTTGCTCGTTCAAAGAAACCTGCTGTCGCTCCAACGCGCTCAGGCCAACGCATCATCACCATTACCGGCTAATCTGGGCACGCTTCCAACAGTCAAGAAAACACCAGAACATTACGGATATCGGCAATTACTATGCGACGTTCCTGCCTTTCATAGTCCACCGCGACGAAATCTGCTGCGCCACTTGTTTGCGCCACGCGTCACGGCAGGGGTTAATGATCTCATACCCAAGCGAATGCGCTAAGAAACCAGTGATCTGCACGGCTATGCGGCCTGCACAGCACTAGCCACAATGTCTTTGGAGACAAGAAACATGCGTGACTGACGAGGCCAGGGAGGGCAAACCCTAGGAACATGATCATGATTGTTCTTGGATGCCAAGGTTAGCTACGCAATGGTCGTGGCTGACGTTTGCTGTCACGTCTCTTGACCAAGCAAGGCACAGTCGTAGGGTGCCAGGTGTATATATACTGGCAGCTTGAAGTCATCAAATTTCACATCCACAGCTTCGCAACATTCCGAGTACTGCTTCTTATCAGCATCACACCTGATATCTTGACTGCTTTTTTTTCGATACCCATACTTACCAGCAACATGCTCTTCACACGTCTTCTCTCGATCATCCTGCGCACCGCGCAATGGGTCTTCGCAGCCATCGTCCTTGGTCTCACAGCATACTTCCTCTACCAACGTTCTCGATACGACCAGGGGCCTCTAGGCCGGTTGATCTTCTCAGTGATCTGGTCATCCCTCTCTGTCCTCTTCGCTGTCATCTGGGCCATCCCCACAAGCTCTAGTATCACTGGTTACACATCCGATTTCAGTAAGTCCTCCCAACTCTGTTACCATTACCCTAACAACCTACTAACAATAACTGCGTAGTCTTCACCGCTGGCTGGGCCGCTGTCTTCGGCCTCCTCGTCAGCTGGTTCAACGGCTCTGGATGTGGTAGCGCGTGGGCTTGGGGCGGCGTGTCTTTCCGTCGCGACAACTCTTGTGGTCAATGGCAGGCTGCTCAGGCTTTCTCGTTCTTGTCTATGATCCTTTGGTTCGCTACTGGTGTGCTTGGTATTTTGACGGTGCACCGTCTCAACCGCAAGGCTGCTGCGTAAGTATTGTGCTGGTGTTCTGTGGGAATTTGGCTAACGGGAATGCAGTCGTGGCTCGCACGTCTAAACGCGAGTGCGTTACCGACAACGATCGATCGACCAGTACCATACTCAAGCCAGCTGAGCGCTGCTTCGACGAGCGAGAGGCCACCCTTTGGGTGTGTGCTTGAGTTGGGCTGTTGGAGACAATATCAGGATGGTTCGCTAGCAGCTTGCTAACATGTTCCTCCGCTTACGAGCTAATATGAATACCCCATTGAGCGAGGAGTTGCACCGGGTTTGTTTTCTTTGTTCACTAGTAACTGTTCGCTTGCACGATATCAAGATATGTCTTTCCATAGTAATGCTTCACATGTTTACTGCGATCGTGTACACGGCAACTGTGAAATCTCTCTGAAATTCTTTGGTTGCGGCTCTAATGTTTCATGCCAGAAATGAGCCGAGAGACCCTGAACCTGACAAGCGATGTGTCGAAATACTTCCAGACGACGTGGCTTTTCTTGATGTACGGAAATATATTTCGCAAGACCTATTGACCTCTTCACAGGTCGAGTCACACCAACAGAAGAGCCGCATTCACTCAACGAGCACTATTCCGTGACTTGGAAACGGTGAAGCGGAGTGAAAGTTCACTGTAGCCTCTTCAGTGCACGGGCGACTGCTCTCTCCCCCTTCGATAAAGTGGTACACTCTCTCACTGGTTTTCTTACTCCACCACTAATTAGCCACCATCTTTGACCATCAATCTACTACGACCCATCACCACTCGGGATCGAGTCTCAAGATCAACACCCTTATGCAGTTCAATCCCACGAACATCATTACACCCACCATGTCTGAGGAGGACAAGACCAGAACTAGTAAGGTGGACCAAGTCTTCAAGGGCATTCACCGTCGCGTATCCAGCTCCGGAAAATACACAAAACCGAATAAGGCCCCCACTGAGACGTTGGCGGCGATCGCGGACGAAGCCTTTTCTTCCCACTCGTCGTCACCCTTCAGCTCGCTCAAGAGCCTTCCCAAGCGTCGAAACGACGAGCGTGACACCCGGCTTCTTTCCCTGGACAAGCTGATGAATGGTACCGCGGTAACCGAAAAGCACAGGCTCTGGTTCGAAAAGCTCAACATCGCCGTCAGGACCCTGATGAACTCATCAGACTACGACCCTTCGCACGACTACGAGCACATCCAGCGAGTCGTCCTCAATGCGCACCACATCTGGGGCGCCGAGAAGCATCGCGAGGAGTTCTGCAATATCGACCCCTTAGTCATCTTCGTCGCGGCTATGGTACACGATGTCGCGGATGACAAGTACCTAGTTGATGAGCTTGAGCTTGAGCTTGAGCTTCAAAAGGAGGTGACAGATCATGACAAACAAGAGCGGCAAAGGGACGCCGTTGAGGCGTTCATCAAGAAAGCTGCTCCTGAATGCCCACCCTACATTCGGGGTCCAGCGACACACGTTGCAGCTTTGGTCTCTTTCACACGTGAACTGCGCAGACCCGAACTTATTGCTCAGCAATGTATGGCATATCCTGCTCTGCAGATCGTGCAAGATGCCGATCGTCTTGATGGCTTGGGTGCGCTAGGAATTGTACGTGGCACAGTGTACGGGGGCGCGAATCAGCCGCGTGGTAATGGTACGGTCCGACGGGTCTGTCATGTAGTTGACGAGCGTCATTCCCAATATGTGGCGATGATGAAGACGCGTACGGGCAAGAAGGAGGCGAGCAAGCGCTGGAATACGATGGAGGAGATACGGGACCAGATTGTGGCGGAGGCGGACTGTAGGAGCGTGCTGGAAGAGAACTGAGTCTGGAAAAAGACTGCGAAAGGGGAAAAATTCCCGCGGAAGATGACTGGATGCTTACAGTCTTAGCAAAAGTTGCCTTTCCTGTCGACGCGTTGTTCGTGGTGTATACAGAGATAGACGAATGAATCATACTCCAAAAGAGATCGAGGATCTTCGTTGATTAGGAAGAATGACTAGCAGGAGCGTGCGTGATTTAAACTCTGAATGAATATAATGATGCAAAACGGGAAGCTTTACTGTCAGCCTCGTGCATGAGCCATGGAGGTGGTGTACCTCGTTTCGAGGGGCACTGCTTTCAGCGATTCTATCGATCGACGAGCACTGCCTGTCTCAAGTTCTATCCGCGCTCGGAAAACGAGCTTGTCTGTTTGCAACAAAATTGTGAGGATGTTTGTGGATAAATGCGAAGGCAATGCGAGACTGAAAGCGCATCGTTGGTGATGGGTCCCGCGTTCACGCTAACAACCGAAAGCAGACTAGCGCCTCGCTTGAAGCACACCTGCCGTCTCTAATTCTCAGCTCACGACCGACACCTCGAACTTTCAGACTCTGACCAGCTCGACATCACGCCGCCAAAATGTCCGCCAACTCGCTGAACAAGATCGCGCCCAACAGCCCCTCGAGGCAGAACCCCTCTGAGATTGAGACCAGCATCGCCAGCGCAAGTTCACCGGTCAATTGCACACTGACGACCACGGCTAACATTTGTGATAGGCGTTGACTGACCTCGAGAACAACGTCCCCGACCTGAAGGCTTCTCTGCGCCCTCTCCAGTTCGTCTCTGCTCGCGAGGTATGAAACCCCGAACCACGATGCGCTCTCGAGCGTCGCCTACACACACTACACCCATACCCTATAAATGAAGAGGCGGTGGGCACTGGGCAGCAACATCATGCTGACACCAGGATTCTTAGATCGAGGTTGGCCACGGACGCAAGGCTATTGTCATCTTCGTCCCTGTTCCCCTTCTGTCCGGATGGCACAAGGCCCAGCAGCGGTATGTTACGCTCACGAATTTATGCAATTCGTATACTAACGGTTCTCAGTCTCACCCGTGAGCTCGAGAAGAAGTTCTCCGACCGCCACGTCCTGATCGTTGCTTCCCGCCGCATTCTTCCCCGCCCCAAGCGTTCCAACCGCTCGCGCACCAACCAGACCCAGAAGCGTCCCCAATCCCGGACTCTTACCGCTGTCCACGACGCCATCCTGACCGACCTCGTCTACCCCGTCGAGATTGTCGGCAAGCGTCTCCGTACCCGTGAGGACGGCAGCAAGATCCTCAAGGTTGTCCTTGACGAGAAGGAGCGCGGTGGTGTTGACTACAGGCTCGACACCTACAGCGAGGTCTACAAGCGCCTCACTGGCAAGGGCGTCAACTTCGAGTTCCCCCAGAGCCAGCAGACCGACTACTAGATCTAGGCGGTTCGTTGGGTTTGGTCGATCTCGTTATATCTTCATGGGTCAGGAGTACGGCAGGGCTTCGGTTATGCGTCATGTACCGGCATCAAAAAGGAATGAGAATGAGATGACATGAGCCTGTATTGGGCACCCCTTCAAGATACCATTTGCAATTGATTTCTTTTACTGTTCGTGATGGCTGTCCTTGCCTTGACTATGGTAACTGTCTACTGCCTGTCCAGCTCAGGGTAATGCCTGAACACACCCATGCTGAAGGGCTTTCGTCTCTCACTCCCGAGATACTCCTTGATGCCCTTGGTCTCCTTGACGTTGTCATAGAAGGTCCCGAACAAGGTCGGGTAGTCCTCCTTCCTCGCAGCGATTTCCTTTGGGAACGCAAATTCCAGCCCACTCAGCACATGCCAGACAGTAGTATCAGCATAGCTCAGACTATCCCCAACAAGGAACTTTCCCTGTCCCTGCGCCTCGTTGCCCTTGAGCACGCGCTCGAAGAAGCCCAGAAACTTGGGAATGCGATTCTCGCGGAAGTCTGTCGCCTTCTTCATCGACTCCTCCTTCTGATCCTCGTAGTATTTCGCGACCGCAATGGGGTGGTGTGTATCGTGAGCCTCGTTGTTGAGGTCCAGCGCTGTCAGCGTATGCGACAGGATCCACGACTTCTCCGCCTCGTCTGCGCCGCTGAGGCCGAGCTTGTCACCGAGGTAGGAGAGGATGGAGGGAGTCTGGTAGATCAGCAGCGCGGCGCCGTTCTTGCCCTCGCCGGGGATGCGCAGGGCAGGTGGGGCGAAGCTGGGTGGGTTGCCGTCGGAGCCCGTGGAGGATTGGTCATTGAGGGAGCTGATGACTTTCATGCCTGGACGTGTCGTTAGCTATACCAATACGTTGTGCGATGGAAGCGTGTGGTGCGTACCATCTTCGGACTCGTTGGCAACGTCCTTGTAGGAGACGCCCGCTGCTTCGAACGCTAGGCGGATGAACTCTCCACGTCCTGGAATGCCAGGCCAGTACAGCAGCTCATATGGAGGCTGGGTACGCGCCTTCTTGGTCGCAGACATAATAGTAGTGTGGTATCGAAGCGCAATTGGGATTTGAGTGTGGTGTTTAGACAGCTGTAGGAAGATATGATGGGAAAGGAGAGCTCGAAAGGTGGTGCGAAGCATGCAATTGCAACAGCTGCCTTATTAGTCGTTTATAACGAGGGGAAGAGAGCACCATGTCAGGTTGACGTTCCATTGCCGCTCGGCGTGCTCTATGCAGAGTGTTTGGCGTCATTGTGGAGTTGTGGTTGGACTGCCAGATCGTACATGCTGACATCAGATGCGGAATTGCGCCGAGACCGAGCAATGCGAGGACATCAGATGCAAGTTAACCTGCCAGCTGGCCTAAAGTGGTCGTAGTTCACTTCCCAGCAATGTCAAGCTGGTCACCGAGATGGATTCAATTGGCTGTTCTGTTTGTCGCCGCTGATGTCTCGCTACCTAGGTACAGGCTCTCGGAATGGGTTCCGAAAATTGGGGGAGCTCAGCGGCAGCTGAGCAGGAGGGGTAGGCACGAACGAACAGGTTTCAAGCAACTTATACACAGAACTTGTGGGTCAATTGCATTATAATCTGAGATCATCGACCGCACTCACATGCTATGCGATTGCGATCGTTGGAAACGTTCATGTTACCTACGTCGCTTCGTGCACCCTTCCCCGTCAGTCTAGATGAAGTTCCGTTCAGCGGTCGCAGACGGGATGCTACACAATAATCAACGAGGGCACCTATCATGGTTCCACATGCTCTGTAATAATTTCGCATTATCATGCCATCGGGCTGTGTGCTGTCAATAATGTTTCGTGTTACGGAAGAGGGCAGAAGGCGATACGCTCGCCTGTGCCTCCCATGGCCCACCGCAGCAGCTCTCATGCGGGAAAAGGGCTGCGCCATGTTGCGAGAAATCAAACTTTTGCTACAAAACTACCAACACCACAGATGCAAATCTCGAGGAGATTCTAGGCGCTCCATGTCTCTGCTTATCCAAATCTCTGTCTCGGTTTCAGTCCCGTTAGATCGCAACTTCCTGGAGGAACAGCCCTGGAGACGTGATCGGCCGCCCTACACCGTTCAGGTCTAGACTTCCCGCCTAGACCCTCTTCCACGCCCGCTAAACTCATCACCCACGAGTGCTGCCTTCAGCTCATCCTACCCGCACCGAAGCACGGTTGGACAATCTGTTGTTCGCCATAACAATTTCGCCACTATGTCAAGCTACAATGAATACGATCGACTCATTCATCAGATGCAATCTTTTCGCGCATCTGATGAGGCCAGAGAGCAGTTTGTTACCGTACGTGTCGCTGAGTCGCGTGTGCGGCCGAGCGACAAGTACTAATCAATCATTAGGAAATTCTAGCAAAGTATCGGGAATTGTCCGAAGAGCACGCCAACTTGAAGAATGACTATTTGAGTGAAAGAGATATCAGGAGGAATTATCAAAGGACTGTGGATGAGAAGCAGGCTTTGGTGGGAGATTACACACGTCAGCTGGTGCGTTACTCGCTGCTATGTCAGCATTGCCGATTCGCGTGCTGACTTTGGCTACAGGAAGCAAGTTCATTTGTGTTGGCACTAATCGATGGGGATGGAGCTATCGTAAGTATTTCCGAGTCCTTGAATCCATATCATAGTCCGGTGGCAACTGTATATCAACGCTGGCCCAGTATGGTCGGCAACATGTACAGGTTGTGGCGACGCGAACATACAGTCGAAAGATTTGGTTACTGATTCTTGACTTATAGTTTCAAGATGCGTTACTCCAAGCCGCTGGTGGTGATGGAGGTTCAGAAGCTGCGTCCCGTTTGTATCATGCAATTCGCGACCATGTTGCTTCGTTGTACAACAGCTCGGGCAGCTGGCCGGTTATGGTTCAGGTCTATCTAAGTCTCGATAAGCTCGCGCAGAAGTTGGCGTCGGTCGGCCTTCTTCGATCTCCTCAGGATCTACGAGCTTTTGCGCAACGCTTCAGCGTCAATCAGCCCTTATTTAGTATTATCGACGTCGGTCACGGAAAGGAAAGAGCCGATCACAAGATTAAAGGTACTGCATATTCTCCAATTGCAAGTGATTGATACTAACATTCGCCCTGCAGAAATGCTTCGTACCTTTAGCGACAATCCCACTTGCCGTCATATCGTCTTCGGTGGTTGCCATGACGCAGGATACTTACTAAACCTCGAACACTTCAAGCACGATACCGCCAAATCCAGTCGCATCACACTCCTGGAGACTACACCTGCGTACCGCGGCTTCACGGATTTAGCCAACTTCAAGCGCGCTCGTTTCGACGACGTCTTCAAGAGCGAGCCTCTGCCTGACTACCAACCTCCAGTGAACGGGTTCGGCCAATTGGCTGTACAGTCGCCGGTACAGGCCGTAGTACAACCACTCCCACGTTCCGTCACAAACAACACCAACACATCATCACCTACATTCACTCCGAGAGCCTCAGTCGCGTCTCCATCACCTAGCGTAACTCCTATCTCAGCTGCCGCACCTGGCGAGTCGAATGGTGACTCTTCCTGGGGTAAGCAACGTATCCCTGTGTCGCTGCCGTTAGAAGCATTGCTAACAAAAGACCAGCCACCGTTGGTAAAGCCGGTGCTCCTGAAAACGGCAGCATTTCTATCGCACCTACTACGGCCGCTACTAAGAAAAACATTAAGAAGAAATACGCTTATTACAACAAAGCTGGTCAGAGATTGGATGAGCCATTGCCATCGAAAGATCCTGCTGCCGCAGCTTCGCTCGAAGCACGCATGAAGAAAGTCGGCAAGAAGATGTGCAATCATTGGTAAGCTGTCACTTTAGACTGCTGGGACTACGACGAGCAGCTCCCAGTGCTTCACTGTTGCCATTGAGACCTTGCTAATACACGGTGCAGGCATCTTGGTGGCTACTGCGAGAATGGAAAATTCTGCAACTTCCAACACGAGCCGAAGCTTACACCCGCCGAGCTGAATGCCTTGCGCTATAAGACACGTAGTCTGGCTTGCAAGAACAAAGGCTGCGAGAACATTGACTGTTGTAAGTACACACGCGGAAGAGGCCGTCACGCCACGATGTCTCTCACCCTCGTCTTATTATGGATCTGCGGCCGTACTAACATCGTGGCTTCAGATTTGGGTCACCAATGCGCTCTTGAGCGCGACCATGGATACTGTTCGTTCCCAGAAAACTGTAGGTACCATCGACGTGAGAACACACTGGAGCTTCGCTGATATTTTGCTTCTCTTTAGGCCATCTCCGTGCTACGCATGGTATGGACAAGGTCAAATACGTCAGGTACGACAAGGACGACAATGCAGATTATGCTCCTTAGTTAAGTGAGATGGACAAGTATGATGGATCAAGGTATCAGTTCACCTTGAATTCATCTCGGCCATGGAGGTCTCGGTACGGCCATGTTGTCTAGATAGTATAAAATTGGTAATCATTTCTCGCCTTCATCAAGCTATTTCTCATGAACTTATGAATGGACGTGAACCATATTTTGGGTAGTGTGACGAGTCGTCCGTAATATTTCTACTAACAGATTGGTGGTGAGTTGCGAGGCTCCGAGAGCGACACAAGAACCGACCTCGGCCAAAGCACAGGCGACTAGTCGATTAGACCTTTTCTCTTCCCCACACTCCGCACAAAGCCCACGCGAAAAGCACACAGACACTGACGACGAGGCGGATAATATGACGGGACAAGCAATAATGGCGATTATTGTCCTGCGGCCTTATGCAAGCCGCGGCAGCTGGATTCGGCAATATGGTCGGAGACTCTTCTAACGTAATCCCTCGACAAAGACACGGGATAGGACCGACTTCTTAGTGAATATAGTTCATTACACATGCGACTGCAAGATTCTGTATTCTCTGACTATCTTTCTACCCTCAGAATATTCTTGACAACATGCCGTTCTTGTACTCCGACACGCAACCAAAGATCCTCATCGCAGGTGCCGGTATCGGCGGGCTGACCACCGCGCTAGCACTCCATGCCGCCGGTTTCAGCGACGTCCAGATCTACGAGACAGCATCAACGCTCACCACACTCGGCGTTGGCATCAATGTTCAACCTTCTGCAGTTCTGATTCTGCGGAATCTGGGTCTGCTTGAGGCCCTAGAAAAGACTGGCATCAAAACGGGAGAGCTGAACTTCTACAATCGTCATGGAGATTCGATTTTGAGCGAGCCAAGAGGGATGAATGCAGGTTACGAGGTGCCCCAATTCTCAATCCATCGTGGAGAATTCCAGATGTTGCTTCTAAGCGCTGTGAAAGAACGCCTTGGCAACGATGCTCTGCATCTGAACCATGCGCTGACGGCGTTTGATCAAAACGACGAAAGCATCACAGCGCGCTTCGCTCACCGAAGAGATGGCGCCCCTGTGGACGAATCAAGCGTAACAGGCGACGTTCTGATCGCTGCTGATGGTATCAACTCCGCAGCAAGAAGGCTTCTCTACCCCGGCGAGGGCCCGCCACGCTTCTCGGGGCGCATGCTCTGGCGCGGCTGCATCGAGCGCGATCAGTACCTCACAGGCGCGAGCATGGTGTGGGCAGGTCATGCCGACCAAAAGTTCATCGCATACCCCATCAGCGCACGAGCAGCCGCCAAAGGCAAAAGTGTAGTCAACTGGATTGCCGAGTTACGCACACGCGACAGGAACGACACGGACCTCACACCCCCCAAAACCGACTGGACCAAAGCCGTCAGGAAAGATGTCTTTGCCGGACCCTTTGAGACATGGAGATGTGGCGGCCTGGAGATGAAAGACCTGATCGACAACACAGAGAAAGTCTTCGAGTTTCCCATGTCAGATCGCGACCCTGTCGAAGCCTGGTCCTTCGGCCGTCTTACTCTCATGGGCGACGCAGCACACGCCATGTACCCCATTGGTTCAAACGGCGCATCACAAGCCATCATCGACGCGGAAACGCTCGCTAAACATCTCTCCGGCAACACTTCTGATATTCCAGCCGCGCTGAAGGCATACGAGCAGGAGAGGTTACCGCCTACCGCTAAGATCGTTATGGCGAATCGTGCGAATGGGCCGGATCACGTCTTGCAGCTTGCGGAGGAGAGAGCGCCCGATGGTTTCAAGAATGTGTATGATGTTATTCCTAAGGATGAGCTGGAGGAGATTGGTAGGGTGTACAAGAAGGTTGCGGGATTTGAGATGGATAGTGTTAATGTGAAGGCGAGGGAGACGGAGGGGGTGGACAGGGAGAAGGGGTTGAAGAGTCCGGCGGATTGGATATAGCGGTAGATCTATCGTGTGAGGAAATGATGATGTAGCTTTGTGAAGCTGTACCTTCTGTACACTTTTGATAGGGTAGAACGTCCAGGCACGTGCTGGGGCAGCGATGACGTTCACGGCTAGTCTAGTGCGAAGAGCAGTTCCCAACCGAAAAGACGTGGGATGCGACGCGTTCCTACCAGCCCCCTCACTTGGTACCATTAACATCCGTTCATCATTACTTCGTTATTGCTTGCTAAAAACATCCAGAAAACTATCTGTGAGTCCTAATGCCGGTGGCAGCGCCATCGCGGCCGTACCAAGGCCCCAAATCTCTTGTTCAGGGCGGTGCACCCCTTCAGCGGTGCCGTCCAAGAGCCAACCCTACCATGATCATGCGCATCACTTTCTCGGCGCCGTCCTTGACCAATACCTCAGTCTGAACGATTGCCTGTTCTAGGGTTACTGGCCCCCTCAGAATGCTCGTGAAGGCTTTGATGCCTGCGCCGTAGCAGCCGTCTGCTCCTTCCCCGATGGTACCGGCTAGCGCAACCACCTGCGCCCCGTTCCGCCTTGCGCGACGAGCAATCTCTGTCGTCATCTGTCTTCGTCAGTAGTCTGATGGAGGAACAACGATAAAAGATTGTATACCTTCCCATTTGGCGACTGGAAATCCAGAGCGCCCTCCGCCGTAATGACGAAATCCCACTGATTCTCGAAAACCCGGTCAAATTCAAAGTACTCGTTGATGGCTTCGGCGCGGGCACGCAATGTAGCGCCGAGCAACATCAAACCTGCTCCGAGACCTCCACTGGCACCGCTGCCTGGGGTCTGAGAGATGTCCTCTCCAAGCGTCGAATGAGCAACCTGCGCCAGCCGTTCAAGCGATGATGCAAGCATATCGACTTGAGCAGGCGTAGCTCCCTTCTGCGGCCCATACACTCGCGCGACTCCTTTGGACCCGCAGAGTACATTCTTGATGTTGCATACGGCCTCTATCTGGACCTTCTCGGCTGGATTAACGTTAGAACTGGTATGGAGGTGAGACGCGGGTGGCTTACCAGCATTCTTTTGTAGTCGAGGATGCACATCAGCCCAGCAGATGCTGGCTAGACGTGCTAATGATCGACCACCGCCAGCCTTGGGTAACTCTTCGCCATCTTCATCAAGTAAACGGACACCGAGCGCCTGGAGCATCCCCGCTCCTCCGTCTGAGGTTCCCGAATCTCCACATCCAATGATGATCTTTGTGGACCCTGCATCGAGCGCTCTCTTGATAAGCTGTCCCACCCCATACGTAGTGGTAATCGTTGGGTCGCGTTCGTCTTTTGGGACCAAACGGAGCCCTGCCGCTGCCGCCATATCCAGTACAGCCGTCTTCTTGTCCTTGCCAATAAAGCCAAGGTGCGATTCTACCGCCGATCCAGTAGGGCCGGTGACTGGCACGTCGACGATAGATCCGCCATGGGCCGCTACCAATGCACGAGCAAAGCCCTCTCCACCGTCATGCAGAGGAATTTTGCGCAGGATAACGGAACTGCGATCGAGCACCTTTCGGATGCCTGCCTCGATCGCATCAGCCACGTGTTCTGGGCCTAGACTTTCTTTAAACCCTGACGGTGCCACCAGAATCCTCAGTGGGTGTCCGCCTAGAATATCTGACGTTGGAGTGGGTAGCACCGCCGACGCCGAGTGCGCGAGGTCTTCTGCTTGCTGTTGCGGCAAGTCGAATGTGTTTAACGAAAGGAGTCGTGTGAGGTGTGGCTCAAGTGTTGTCGTCGCGGCAGGAGCAATGTGGGCACATGGCTCCTTGCTTGCTGACACGCTGGCGAGCATGTTTGACACGAAGAGAGTAAAGCTGAGTAGACAATCACGAATAATGCTAATGAGGCAGGACGTTGATCGAATGATGTCGAAATCGAAAAGCGAGCGTGAGAGTGTGGTAATGTAGAGCGAGCGTGCGTCAATTGATTTGCGTGATTGGATACCATCATCATATGGACCTACGACATCCTTATATCTTGGTCCCAGACTCTGCTCGTCTGGAGTTGCACGCTCTCACGATAGACCTGTGCGACATAGCCCGTAGAGCTATTTCCGGTGCATCACTTGGAAACGCCACCTGAGGTGTTACTTCCAGCCTCAAAACCATGGCATCAACGTCATTGAAGCTGCAAGTACTCACACATTCATGAAACATACAAGCCGAACTTCCCAGCTCATGGTATCGTGGCATAGCCGGAAATGACGACTACTACAACACAGCCCTGCTGGCATTCGTACTACCAGGTGTATAGCTCTAAGTCATGGTTGGCTTTTCTTGATCTCTTGATTAGTATTAATCCCGCATACCCAAAGTTCTTGACTGACCCACTTTCTTCTTGAGGTCTCGTTTTTGGCCAATCGCGGCGATTGCACGTGTCTTCACCAAGCGGTCTAGCGAGTAACCAAGCTGTACCTGCTTGGCAAGAAGAACCGAGCACAGCCAGGTAGCTGACGTCTACAAAGAAGGCTGCTGTCGTTGATCAATCTCCACCGGAGAAAAGCTTATCATCTCGTGGCAGTAGCCGCAGCCCTGTTATTGGCTATGGGTGATCTGAGATGTGGTGGCTACCGTGCGCCCACGCGACAGTTTTCTATTCTTGATTACACCCTCCGCAAGGGTCTCACCGCAGCCTTACCAACCTGAACCTGGGCATCTCGAAGCCATCTTTCTTGGACCGTGGCATTCACGCTACACCGTTGATACTGTACTTTGAGGTCATTTGGCCGTATAGTGCTTTTGGCACCGTGAACAGCCTCCTCTTAGTGAGCGCCTCTTTGACACTGCCTCAATTGATGAGAGTTGGCAAGCAGGTTTTGATGCTATATGCAAGCGATCTGCCCCTGTAACAAGAAAAGGTACCACCCATCACCACAGTCGCTATCATCATTCTTTGGATTCATCATTCGTTCAATCTCAACACTCGTTACTTACCATGAACTTTAAAGACAGGTTGCTTGGTCGATCTTCCGGAGATGACGGGAGCGCGCGCGACTCCTTAGCACTGCCGAGGTTCTCATTCGAAGGGGACGGTCGTTGGCTCCTTAGCACCCAGCGTTTGTTCCTACAGTGGGAGCAAGAAGAGTCAGGGTACGAGGCTGGTCGCGAGAACATGGAGGAGGGTCTTCGTAAAGGTGAAGAAATCATTGTAAGCCTCTCTGATGTCTCATGACACTGCCACTGACATGACGTGTAGATCACCTGGGACGGCCCGAACGACCCTAGCAACCCTCTCAATTGGAACAGCAAACGCAAATGGGTAGCTACAATACTCGTATCGCTCTTTACCTTCATATCGCCGTTCTCGTCGACTATGGTAACGCCTGTGTTGCCGGACATTGGGGATGACTTTGATATACCGGACGGCTTTATGCGCCAACTGGTCATGACCATATTCCTTCTTGGCTACGCTCAAGGACCCTTCGTACTTGCGCCTCTGAGCGAGATCTTCGGGCGCGTTACAGTCTTACAGTATGCCAATCTTGCGTACCTTCTTTTCAACACTTGCTGCGGGTTTGCGCAGACCAAGGAGCAGATGCTTGCTTTTCGGTTTCTTAGCGGGCTAGGCGGAGCGGCACCCCAAGCTGTACGTCAAACCAGTGCACCTTCATCGCAAGTTACACATCATCGATACACATGACTGACGAAAGCTAGCTGTGTAACGGCGTTCTCGCTGACACCTGGTCAAAAGAAGAACGCGGAAAAGGCCAGGCCATATACGGCATTCTGACATGGCTGGCACCTTGCGTAGCACCGATTGTCGGTGCATACATATCCACAGGCGCCAACTGGCGCTGGATCTTCTTCGCCACATCCATCTTCACGGTCCTCGTCCAGCTCACCGCGCTCTTTTTCCTACGCGAGACCTTTGCACCTGCTATCCTCGGCAAAAAAGCAAAGGCTGTCAGAAAAGCCATGAAGGGTATACGAAACGATATAGTCGTACGGACCGAGTATGAAACAGGAGGCCGCATGAGCAGGATATTGAGGAAAAGGTTAATTCTGCCGTTCATCATGATGTTCACCCACCCCGCGACTCAGGCGCCCTCGATATATCGCGCCTTTCTGTATGGTGTCATGTATCTGATGCTCTCGACGTTCCCGATGGTGTTTGAGGAGGTGTATGATATGGATACTGGGCCTGCGTCGCTTAACTACTTATCGCTTTGTTTGGGCTTCATGATCGGCTTGCAGATTTCGCATCCGCTTATCGATCGGGTACGTCTACCAAGCCCAGCTTCCTGGTCACGAATGTACAGCGCTGACTCGAGGCTAGCTGTATGAACGGATGAAGACTTACTGCAAGCTCACCGAAGGGGTTCCGGAGTTCCGCGTTCCACCCATGCTCATCGCAGGCATCCTCTGCCCTATCGGTCTTTTTATCTATGGTTGGAGGTCAGTCTACTCCACACCTCTCACTGTCATCATACTAACCATATACAGCGCGCACAACGCCGTTCACTTCATCGTACCCAACATTGGCGCCGTCATTATAGCAATCGGCCTGATAATCGGGTTTCAATGCGCCCAAGCCTACACAACCGACGCGTACGAAGCCAATTACGCAGCCTCCGCGGCCAGCGTAGGAGCATTCATGAGAACTATGTGCGGTTTCAGCTTTCCGCTTTTTGCGCCAAAAATGTATGAGACATTGGGTTTGGGATGGGGAAACAGCTTGTTAGCATTCTTGACTTTGGCAGTGGGGTTAGTAGGGCCTGTGGGTCTATGGTTCTATGGGGCTCAGCTAAGGAAGATGAGCTGGAGAGGCTTGGGATAGATCATATGAGAAATAGAGAAGAGTAATACGTTTATGAGAATGTATTCGTTGCAACTAAACTATGACTGCGCGAGGACGTATCCGCAGCACCGAAAACGCCCAGACACCAACCCTAAGGTACTCAGACCGCGCGCAAACACCAGACCCAAGCCCCAAACAGACGGCCGGATGCCACAACACTCCCTCTAGTTTCTCCAGAAGCCCGCAGAACCCGGCGTGAGTGAGCCTCACCATGATCTTCATCGCACTGAATCCGTCCTACATCTCGCCATCAATGACGACACCCAGATTAGCGGTGTCGCACTGACTGGTATAGTCCCCAACTCCTTCTCTCTGGTCAATACTCTTGCTCCCTTGCATGAGCCAAGAGCCTATGACCATCTTACTCCTCGTCGGATTCGTAAGCCTCAGCTATCTCCACCTCCATATCCACCTCCTCGGTGTTGTGTTTCCACAACCTTTCAACCTCATCTTCCAATCTCTTGACCTCAGCCTTTAGATCTTCATTATCCTGAAGGACCTTCTTCATCTGATCCTTGATCTCACTATCACTACCCATGAGGAGGCCTTCTTTGACCTCAGCATAAGTCAACTGCCCCAACTTGAAAGCCTGGTTGTTCTCAAGTTTCATCCACCTTATTCGGAAGTTGTGAGTCAGTTGCTGTTGGTGCTTGACCTGGTTTTTGGCGGCTCCGAGTTCCTTTTTGATCGCTAGCAGCTCGTCGTCTCTCTTGACCAGAAGTCTTTTCCAGGCTTCTTTGACGTCTTCTTTGAGCTCTGAATTTTCTTCTTTGAGATCCGTGTTCTCTCGCTGGTATTGCTCAACTCGATATTGCAACGAATTGATTGTCGAACTCGCTTGCGAGTTCTTCAGATCGTCGATCTCCTGCTGGCGCTCACGTTTGCACTCCGCGATCTTCGCGGCGATGACCTCGTCTCGCGATTCGACAGCAACCTTGAGTTTCTCTTTCGTCTCCCTGGTTTCGCGTTGTGTATCATCAATCTCGTTCTTGAGGTCAACGACTTTGAGGAGGTATTTGTCCTTCTCAGCCTGGACATCCTTCTTCAATGACTCGTTGTCTTTCTTCAACGCTTCAATCTGGGTTGAAGACGCTACATCGATGGTTACGGGCTGGCCACGACTCAGAGCCTGGATGCCTGTATTGAGCTTTTGGTATTCGATCTTCTTAGCCGCGACGTCGTTCTCGAGAGAACTGATGCGCTGCTGCAAGGACGCGATGGTTTGCTGGTTCTTCTGAATGGTTTGACTGCTGTTTGTCGCGTCCAATTCAAGCTGCTGTATCTTCTGATCACGTCGGCTGATCTCTTGACCGCCTTCTTGACGGAGTCGGCTAACTAGAATCGTCTGGTTGTTATTTTCGGTCTGTAGGTTCTGGATCGACTGGTCTTTCTGGACAGACTCTCTCTGATACTGCGCGATTGTTGCAGCTGCCGCGCCACTGTTGCCTTTTGCATTGAGATCTTGTAACGCACAGTAAACCGCCTCGCCCTTAGACTTGGCTTCGGTGGTCTCTCCGATGGCGGTGTCACGCTCCTGCGTGAGGGTTGCGACCTGAGTATTTAGGGCCTGCACGTTCTCGCTCAAGTTATGAACCTGGTCTCGAAGATCCGCCTCGATGGTGGCAACAGACTGAAGGTTAGTCGCGGTGTTACCCGTTGCTGCTGAATATTGGGAGCATTGCGTCTGGGTGGCCTTCTCCAGAGCCTTCTCAAGCTGTCTCTTGTTGTCCTCACAAGTCTTCTCGTCGTTTGCCTTTCCGCCTTCAAGGTCGGTGATGCGTTGGCGCAGTCTGGCCTTTTCTCTCTCGCACTTCGTGTTGTCATCCGCCTTCTCGTCTTCCATTTGCTTCAGCTTCGCCAACATGTCCGGTACCTGCTGTGAGGCAAGTTTCAGATTCTTCTCTAGTGCCGCGGACTTTTCGTCTGCTCGAGCCAGGTCGTTTCGCAGGTCTGAGTATCCCAAACCGTTAGCTATGTTCATCGTTGACTTCAGTGTGGCGATTTCACTGTTGTGCTTCCCTTTCAAGGCGTCGACTTTGGTGCGTTGTTCTTTGCGCAAGCTGTCACGCTCTCGGTTCCAGCGCCGTTCATCATCTACACCCTGGGTCTTCTTCTCACCCTGCACTAGCGAAGTCTCGTTCTTGGCTTCCTTCAGCGCCTGCTCTAGGGTAACAACCTTGGTGCGTAGAGGCCGTAGCTCAATGAGCTCAGCCTCTCTCTCCTCGTGGAGCCGGGCAGACTTCTTGACAGCCTCGCCAACGTTGTCCGTATTGATCATACGTCGAAGGTTGCTGATCTCTCGTTGCTTGTCTTTTAGCAAGTCGTCAAAGTGTCGAGCGACGCCAGGGACATAGTGACTGTACAATCGGGTGGTGATCGTCTCTTTGAGGTCCCTGATCTCCGTTCTCTGGGCCTTGTTCTCCAGCTCCAGGTATTCCAGGCGCTGTTTGTCCGCGATCAGAGCAGTCAGTCTAGCTTCTGATCTGATGTT